TTATTAAATTTATACCCTGCCCATCTAGACCGAAGTCTACTCTGGGCGGCTAACAGTAATAGGTAAAACTAAAAACAATATAATAAAATAAAAACAACAGTAATAATATAGGAAACTGTTTTGTTTTACTGTTTGACGGTGGCTTCCCAAGATCTCAAACAGATTTCTTCGTTTACCTCTTAAGAATCATGATGTGCTGTCAGGTCAATCCTGACTTGTGGCAATCCTTTCCAAAGTTTTCTAGGTGTACAGTACTCAGAACTGGTTTATCAGCCTCTGACCAGATCTATTTTTGCTATCTGAGACAGACCAGACGCATCCCCTCACTTTTGGCAGTTTCCACCCATTGGAGCCCAGTGAGCTGGCAACCGAATCTAGACATGCTCCATCTCTCCTGTCCTACCGTAAATAAGAGACCTAACAACCATTGCAGCCTCCACGGCACTTGTTGTCTGACTCTTGTGGCCAAGGCCTCACTTTGTCTAATGACAGGATCAGTCCTATGTGCAAATACTGGCCAAGTCAAGAACTGGTGTTCCAACTGGCACACATCCACTTTGAATCCTGCCTGTAACCCTCACCCATATTTTTTTGTACAGGCATGTGAGAAAAGCAGAGTTGGTCCTGCCTCTTCAGTAGCTGACTGAGGTACCATCTATGGTTGATGGGACAGGGTGGCCAGATGAAGAAATAGGTGGAGCTCCTGTTCTGGGCTTCATCTCCCAGAATCACTGACCGTTGGCCACACAGGTTGGAGTTCATGAAAGCCAAAGTCAAACTTTCTGGAAGGATGAAGTCTGAGATCCACAGATGTAGAAGAAGAAGGAATTTCAGCTGGTTTGGGTTGTAAAACTTACATTTCCTTCATCTTCCATCCTTGACCTCCAAGCTTGGGGGGCTAGAGGGTAGCCAGCATTGAAGATACCCCTGATTCTACATCTTTAATCCTACTGTGGTCAGAATGTGCTCCTCCAGATGTTGCCGGACTACAATGCTCAGCAGCCTATTCAGTGTTATCAACAGAGAGGAATGCTGGGAGTTATGGTCCAAGAGGACCGCACTCTGCCTACAATTTCTCTAATGACAGTTTGATGGGCAAGTACTAAGGAGGTGGTGGTTGCCTTTATTTAGGCCAAGTTTAAGACAAGTTTCATTGACTCTGGCCAAGCAAATGTCTTCAAAAAGGCAGATGTAGACTGGGAAGTGTAGTCAGTGTCTAGTTAGGAAGTATAGGTGGCAAATGTGGTACAAAGCCATCACAAAGGCAGGGCAACCAGGTCTTGGATCCAGGCTGCCAATATCTAAAGTGTGCAAAAAAAAATCACAGCTAGAATGGTGCAAACCCACTTGCGTTGAGCACGGATACATATTGCCTTCCATTGCTCTTCTCTGGGCAGAAGAAAACACAAAGCAGGTGGGTTCAGCATGGAACCATTATGGCCGTTGCATACTAAGGGAGTGGTCACACAGAGAAACAGAAGGTCATTTGAACTGCTTTGGAGCCGTCCAATGTGATCTCTTCCCTTGCAATCACACAACATGCTGGGAAATGCGCTCCAGCCCTCCCTGATCCCAGACCTTTTTGGCCCAACTGGTGTGGCTCTAAATTTGGAGGGGCAGGATGGCACGCTTCCCTGACAAGATTGAAGGGAGATGGCTCCTGTTTAAGTGACTCTTTCCTATTTGATGCGGTGTGTGCCTTTGCAGCTGTCCGACTGCACCTTCAGAGACTCTTCCATCATCTTCTCGCAATGAGCCAACCTCGAGTTTCACCAGTATGGTAGCAAAGACCTTGCCCCCAAATTTGCTTTTGACGCCTCCGACATGTCCCTCCTGGACTCTCGATCCCTAATTCGGAGGGGACTGGAAGTCTTCCGCGTCCAGACTTCCTAGCTCCAGCACCCGTTGCGAATAGCCCTCTCCCTCTGTTTCCTGACCTGGAGGGAGGGAACGCGGCTTGCGTCAGTGCCCAAGAATTCCATTGTTGAGCAAGGCAAGGGGATGGCATCCCTAAGCATTGTGGTGTTTCTTCTTGCGTGACTGTCTTTGAAAGAACTAAACAGAACCCCCTTGGAACTCGCTAGGATGTTCTGGTTGCAACGTACACTTAAAAAAAATTGCTTTGTGTTTCTTAGAATTTGATGTTCCATTTCTTTTCCTTCTGAGAGATTGGCCCTACTCAAAAGGCAGTGGGAGCGTCACTGGACTCAGGCGGCGAATTCTGGAATAGAGTTGAATGGCAGCATGCTCATCTTTTAATTTATTATCATATTTCCTTGCCACTGGCGGACACCACTTGGATTTCTTCTGCTTTGAGTAACAGAGTTGGTTCTTTCCCAGAAAAGTGGGAAAATCGCAAATTGTTTGAAAACCTGCAAGAAATGGCAACTGGGTTCCCAAGGGAGGCCTGTTAAGTCATCCCATTGTTTGACTCCAGGCACGTTGTTAAAACTCTTTCATCTGTGGCAGCATTGAAAACTAATTTACTGTAATGGCTTTGTTTTCCTAGAGGATTGTGTGCATTTTGTTCCTCTGTTGTTTGTCTGAGGTTTCTATTTTTTCTTGGCTTCTTTAAGTGCTGTTTTAATGTTGTATTTTATTGTTGGGTTGGTGAGCGGAACTCGGGTTATTAGTGTTACTATACTTTAAGACAACGAATAAACATCTTTCATGGAATACAGGATAAGAATACAGAGTGTCCTATCAACCTCCATTTTTTACTCCATAATAGTCTTGAAAGTTAGGTTCTCTGTGACTTGTCCAAAGTCACCTAGTGAACTTCACAGCTGAGCAGAGATTTGAACCTGGGTCTTCCACTCCTAGTCTGACATTCTTTACTCACTACACTATATACGTAGCTACGTACGTGCCATCAAGTCAATTCTAAATTATGATGGCCCATTTGAAGGATTTTCAGGTCAGCAAATACTAAGAAGTGGTTGATCATTCCCTTCTTCTGGGGGCACAGTGGGACGGTTCAGCTTGCCCAAGGTTACACAGGTTGGTTCTCCTTGCAGGAGACACAGTGGGGAACTGAACTCCCAACCTTTGACTCCACAGCCAGGTCCCTAAATCGCTCTGGCTCGTTTTTTGTAGTCAGCCTCTGTTGCTGGACCATTAAGAGCAACGAAAGGATTAGCAGATGATCACATTTCTCCTCATGCCTGAGAGAAGGTTCACCTGCAGATCTGTGTGTATCAGGCTGCAGTAAACGGAAATCTACCATGGCCAATGGAAGAACTGGCAACTTTGATAAACTGAATAAAAAGGTTTTACGAATGCAATTTAAGCAGACGGGCCAGTTTAGTTTTCCACAGTGTATCCCAAATATACCTTCTGAGTTGTTTTGCATGAAAATGGGGGGTCCTAGGGCAGGATGGAGCATGTTCCTGTTCTGTCAAAGATGGGGAGAACTTGGGGACATTCCTATTTTGGCTTCACAACAACTCTGTTAGATTGGGAGAGAGTGACTGGCTGGAGGTCATCCAGAGAGCTTCATGGCCGAGTCTAAAGTGACCCTGGATCTCCCAAATCTCAGTGACGTAGTCAAACGTCTACATTGCACTAGCTGGCAGAACTTTAAAAAATTAAGTTTGGACTACATCTATCAGAATCCATCAGCCACCATGTCCAATGGCCACACTGGCTGGAACATTCAGAGAAATTCAGCCTCAGAGAATAATGTTTCCAAGTTCTGCTTGGTGGCTTTAACAACAATCTCTGTAGACATGGCCAGATAACTCTTTTCAGGCGTAGAAACAAACACGATTCCCTGTTTCACACGTGCAATTTGGCAGCCTGCTGCCTTCATGTGTTGTATATGGGCTTCAAGGAAATCTCAAGGCTGATGTTGTACAAAACAGGAAGTCAGGTTAGATGGCACTCTAGGCTGGTCCAACTCATCTCTTCTTATTTTCTTCCCTTTTCGCTTACCACTCAATATAATTGCTTTGCTTTTCTTTTTCTCCCCTCTTCCACCTCCAGGAGGCGCTGTCAGTTGTGAGTGAAGACCAGTCTATATTTGACCCATCCTTCACCACCCCACACCTGCTGAAGACAGAGCTGCCCTCGGTGGATGACTATGGTGGCAAGGAAGACATCGGTCTGGAGGAACCCCAGTGGCCAACGCAGGCCACTACTAACAGGGTCCACGTGGTGAAACAAGAGAATGAACAAGTCAACTGCTCCAACAGGTCAGCAGATGGCCTAGCTTTGGACAGATGTTGTAGGACAGTGGTCTCCAACCTTGGGTGTCCAGATGTTCTTAGACTACAACTCCCAGTAGCCCTTGCCAGTACAGCTAGTGGTGAATGCTTCTGGGCATTTTAGTCCAAGGACATCTGGGGACCCAACCACTGTTGCTGAAGATGTGAAGGGAATAGGCAAGATGAAGGCAATGGGTGGATCTGGGCATATTTTGGAAACGCCGACACCTTTGCAACCAGAAAAATGATTCCTAGTCCCCTTTGAAAGATATAGGGTTGATTTCTATTTCTTCTTCTTTGAGAGCTCCAGAGCTTATGAGACAGAAATATAGGTAGCCACCTCTTTTTTCTTTGTCACGTTATGTAAAGGGAAACCTGGATGATGTAGAGAAGACAGATTGACAACTGTGGCAGAAATCTATTAAGTATAAGACTCAGTAGTATATCTCTGTAACTCTCCTATAATTTTCTCATTGTCTTCTACCTATGGATGTCAACTGATTTGGCTGCCCTTGCTCCTGTACTTCTAATTGCATCAGGATGCAGAGGCATGGAGCAAGCATAAACATCAGCCAGCCATCTTCTTTCTCCCTCCAGTGTGCGAAAAGCTATGCCTCCCAACACCCCACTGCTGAAGCACTTGCTAAAGACATGAGAGCAAAAAAGGCTATTTTCCCTGGTCGGCTGGCAGCCTGGGAACTGGAGCAAACAGGCCCATCAAGCTTGTTAGCCATGATGATCATGGCTAGAGATCATGGCTAGCCATGATGATCATGGCTAGAGTTGGAAGGGGCCTCTAAGGCCATTGAGTCCAACCTACTGCTTTATGCAGGAATCCAAATCAAAGTAGATCTGACAAATGGCTGTCCAATTTTTTCTTCAATGTCTCCAGCATTGGAGTGCTCATCACCTCTTGGGGTAGTTGGTTCCATTGTTTTATTGCCCTAATACAGTGGTGCCCCACATAGCGACGATAATCTGTGCAGCAAAAATCGTCACTATATGGATTTGTCGCTATGAGAAAATAAAAAGCCCATAGGAATGCATTAAAACCCGTTTTATGTGTTCCTATGGGCAAAAAACTCACCTTTATGCAAAAATCCTCCATACGGCGGCCATTTTCACTGCCCAGTAAGCGAGGAATCCGGGTGAAAATACAGAGGGCAGCCATTTTTTTTTACCCGGCGGCCATTTTGGAACCACCGATCAGCTGTTGGGAAATCATCGTTATGCGAAAATCGGTCAGCAAAACAGCTTACCGATCATCGCTAAGCGTTTTTTCCCATTAGAAACATCGCAATGCGATCGCAAAAATGATCGCAAAAAATCCATCGCTATGCGGATTCGACATTAAACGGGGCGCCCGTTAAGCGAGCCACCACTGTATTTAAAAGGTTTTTCCTGACATTCAGCTGAAATCTTGCTTCCTATAGTTTGAGTCCATTATGACGTGTCCTGCATTCTGAGATAGTTGAGAACAGATCCTGTCCTTTCTCTGTAGGACTGCCTTTCAAGTATATGGTTGAAAACAGATCCTGTCCCTTCTCTGTAGGACTGCCTTTCAAGTATATGAAAAGTACTATCAGATCTCTGCTCGGTCTTCTTTTCTCAAGGCTAAACATGCCAAATTCTTTCAGTCTTACCTCCCAGGGCTTGCTTTCCAGTCCCCTGACCATCCTTGCTACCATCTGCTGGACTTGCTCCAGCCTGTTGGCATCCTTCTTAAAGGGCAATGTCCAGAACATCAGAGATGGACAGGCAGAGGCGTGATGCAGCCCTTCCCTGATTATGCTATAGGGAGGGGGCCCCCTCTGGAGCTGGTGCTGTTTAGAGGCAACCCCCCTTCTTGCTTTTTCACCTAATGCTTGTAATGGGTTGTAGATCACATTCTCTGCTCAAGTTTGTGGCCAATCTTGCAAACCCGCAAGGAAATTGCTCATTTCCCCTCAACTCAGCAGAGAGCATGAGTATCCTTGCATCAACGAACGGGCACCTAGTGCACAGGGGTCAGAGTGCTTCAGGCTTCCTAAACTTGAATAAGCCAAACTTTGTATTAACCGTGTCTATTATTGGGTGTGTGTGTGTGTAGCCCATCACACCTGAAGGGAACATCCAGAAAAATAGGGAGGAATGGATTTACTGGGAGAATAGATCCACCGTTGTGGATCTATGCCACTGCTTTTTAACTTAGTATATGCTTTTATATATGAATTTTACATTTACGTGTGCGTTTGGATATTGGTCTATGACTGTGTTAAACTTGATCTGATCTGATTTTATCCACCATTGGGGATCCACTGGGAAACCTTCGTGTGTGAGTTGATCCTGGAGTATGGACAGAAATCAATTAATGGAGAACCTGGATAAGGGGTATATTTATAGTAAAGTTTCCCCTTGAGGAAGCTCAAACTCGATTTGATCTAGGACTCACAAATGTCCATAAATATATTTATAGAGGGAGTTTATTTCTTGTGTATGTGTTCTGGGGGTACTCTTTAAGTGCCTTGCATACTTTCTCCTTAAGACTCTCACATATCTTTAAAGCCTTGTTGTTGTGGTGGTTGTATGCTGTCAAGTCACTCCTGACGTACGGTGACTCCGTGAACGAACTATCTCCAGAATGTCCTCCCCTCAACAGCCCTGCTCAGCTCTTACAAACTGAATTGGGTTTTTTTCCTCAGCTTTCTTATCGGTGTAGCCTTATTAGGTCACCACAAGGGAGATGTGACTTCACAGCCTGTCAGGGGCAGAATCAGTGGCAGAATTCAGACATCATATGATTTCTTCCACCTTGTATTTCCTCTTCCTCTTTCCTGTTACCTTCCACCTTTGTCAACATTATTGTTTTTTTTCCAGATAATCCTGTCTTCTCATTATGTAGGACAGCCTCAGTTTTGTTATTTGTGCTTCCAGAGAAAGCTCAAACTCGATTTGATCTAGGACTCACTTTTTTGTCTTTCTGGCAGCATCACATTTCAAACGAATTGGTTTTTCCCCTCAGCTTTCTTATTGGTGTAGCCTTATTAGGTCACCACTAGGGAGATGTGACTTGACAGCCTATCAGTGGCAGAATCAGTGGCAGAATTCAGACATCATTATAAACTGTGAGGTATCATGCTCAGAAGAAGCCCTGTGACCTAATCTCTCTCTCTCTCTTCCCCACCCCCAGAGGTACACATTCCTTCCACCCTCCTCTCCAACACAGCTGGAAGGAGGAGATGGGCAGATTTTGCTTCAGTTTCTGATTAACAAGGACATGCCTTACCTTCTCTACACAAATAACTGTAGCTACAGTGGACCCTTGACTTACAGACGGCTTGACTTACAGACTTTTTGAGTTACAGACTTCTCTGGCCGCAAAATTTAGGTTTGACTTGCAGACTGAGATTTGACTTACAGACCAGAAAAAAATGGAACAAAAACAGCCTGTTACGGGATTAATCGGTTTTCAATGCACTGTAGGTCAATGGAGACTTGACTTACAGACTTTTTGACTTGAGAACCGCCTTCCAATACGGATTAAGTTCTCAAGTCAAGACTCCACTGTAATATGAACTATGATATGATTTAAAACAACTGGGGCTGGCCCTACCTTTAGGCAGATTGAGATGGCTACAAACTCAACCAGCAGATTTGGAGTGAAAGGATGGCAAATTTGTGAGCTGCTAATGTTGTTACTATATTTTTGCTGTCAGAAAAGGAAAGGTGCTTGAGGCTATTCAGCCAAAGCAGTTTGGCTGGCCTTGAGGACCTACATCTAGATGAATAGCAGAACGGCAACATGGCCTGTTTCAGAGAGAAAAGCCATCTTTTCAAAGGGCTGTTCAATTCCTGTAGGGCTGATAAATATCCATCAAGAGAGCGATGAAGGTTGTTGAAGTTGTCCAACCACGGCAAGAACCTGGACAGTAGACTTAGCAAGCACACAGACTGCCTGGTATCAGCCTTCTATTGCAATTCTGTTTAAAATATATAAAATATCTCTAATTTTACACCTGTAAATATAAATTGGATACCCAGAGTGGTGTCGTGGATAGGATGACAAATCAGGGAGAACAGGGTTCAAATCCCCACTCAGGAAAGATTAGGGAGAACAGGGTTCAAATCCCCACTCAGCCATGGAACCTTGAGAGTGGAACTGGTAAAACCATTTCTTATATATCTCACTTACCTTGAAAGCGCCATTAGGATCACTGTAAATTGGGTTCAACTTGACGGTACGTAACAAGTATATATTAGCATACACTGGATTTTATTTAAACCAGCCTTTTCTCTGTCCATTCTTTGGACAACATGTCTATCTTGAAAGCGCAATTAGGATCACTGTAAGTTGGGTACATAACAAGTATAGATTAGCATACACTGGATTTTATTCAAAGCAGCCTTTGCTCTGTCCATTCTTTGGACAACATGTCTATTGTTTTCTGAGGGTGGATAACTCCTTGCAACTTCGCCTTAGGTGGCAAAATGTGTTGACACAGTCTCCTAGGGCAGCCCGTTGTGTTGTGATCCAGTAGCGAACGGTCTTGCAAATGTGTATTTATTTTTGAGATACTGGGAGGATATGGAGTTCAGACAGATTTAGCTCCTGGTCCTGAGTGACAATACATTACGGTGTTGTGATCCAGTAGCGAATGGTCTTGCAAATGTGGAGGATATGGAGTTCAGACAGATTAAGCTCCTGGTCCTGAGTGACAATACATTACCTGGGGATCTCCTAAGGCTCCTGTGTCTTCTCCACCAGCAGACAATCCCCTGTGGACTGTAGCGTCACCCAGAGGAATAAAGCGGGAGGAACAGTTGACCCGTCCCAGGTATCCTATTCCAGCGGATACAACAACCAACGCAGCAGCCCGCCTGCCAATCCTCCTAGCGAAGAGAAGAGGGTCATAGTCCCGGCAGGTCAGTAGAAGATGGTGTGGTCCTTCTCTCCTTCCATTTCTTCTGGGTGCTCTCACCAATGTCCATAAATGGGTGTGCACGGTTGGCAGCCCAGCAGCAGCATATTATTCAGGATTTCATGTCCAAAACTTGAAGAGTGACAGACATCACAAGGGAGGTAAGAGGGCCCAGAACAGAAAAGGTAATGAAGGAAAATCTGGACCTAGAATGCAGATAAAAATCTATCTAGCCAGGTAAGTTGGCAACCTCAAATCAGAAAGTAAAAAAAAAATAGGATGGGAAAACACCCAGCAAATGCAGCAATTTCTGCTATTGGGGGCTTACCTTCCGCATCATCTTATCGATAGCCCACATGTCACTTGGGGAGTTTTTCCAGACCCTGTTCTGCTATAGCTTTCGAAATTGCTGCCATCATTGATTTCTCCAGGTGCAGGTGCCTTATGCTTCGTGTCCGTTCTGAGTGGCTCTGTCCCAACCCTCGTTACCCATATCTTTCCAACAGATCCCAGTGTATGGACCCATGAACACGTCCGCCAGTGGCTGGACTGGGCGGTGAAAGAGTATGGCCTCCTTGATGTCGAAACCAGCCTCTTCCAGCATATAGATGGCAAGGAGTTGTGTAAACTCGGCAAGGAAGGTTTCTTGAGGCTCACCTCGTCCTACAATGCAGACGTCCTGCTGTCTCACCTCTCTTATCTGCGCCAGAGTAAGTCCAACAGGAGTCTGGCGGGGTGGCTCCATCTTGGGACATCTGGAGATGTCGCAATCTCAAAGTATATGCATATGGGTATCATATTAGTACATGGGACACCCATGATGTCACAGAGAGGCGATCATCTTCTCTACTGTATGATGTGTATGAGATGGGGCTATAGCAAATGATGTCTTGAGGCCATTGTTGTTGGGTGCAGGGGAAGAGGGAAGACACAGCAACTGATAGCTAGAGATGTAGTAGGCATCCTTCAGTCTCGAAAGACTATGGTAGCGTGCTCTGTATGGAGGACTTGGAACAGCGTCTAGTGTGGCTGAGGAGGCCAATTCGAGAGTTACGATCTCTTCCACACTGAAGACAAATCCAATCTGTTCCCTGTCCAGCTCCCTGGTTTTGCTGCTTTTGTGACTTCCTCTTTGCCTCAGCCTGCTGGACAAGGGTCTCTTCAAATTGGGAGAGGCCGTGATGTACTGCCTGCCTCCAGGCTGAACGATCGGTTGGGTAAAGGGGAAGACGGAAGACACAGCAACTGATACATAGAGAAGCCAGGTCAAATATGGATATTCATGTAGATACACTGGAATATGGAAACACCTCCAGGAACAGGAAGACATTCATACGTATAAAGGCTTTCTGCCTTTGGTAAAGAGGTAGGCAGGGTGGCATGGCTGGGCTGGTGCCCCGTTTAAAGGAGGACTCTCCAACCTGCTGCAGCTTAGTGGAACAGCAGAGGCTGTTCCTTCTCGAACAGTGGTTCCCAACCTTGGGTTTGGACCGCAACTCCCAGAAATCCTGTTCAGCGCAGCTAGTGGTGAAAGCTTCTTGGAGTTTTAGTCCAAGAACTTCTGGGGACCCAAGGTTGGGAACCACTGCTCTAGAAGGTCCCACGTTGAGTTGTTGGTATCTCCAGGCTGCAGAAACTGCTAGCTGAAACCCTGGAGCGCCACCGCGTGTCAACCAGCGTTGATGAGATGAGGTTGCCAATTTAACTCTGTTTTAATTTAGGGAGGGGCCAGGTTGCCAGGTTCAGTCCCCATTGCCAGCGGCCAGTCTGGTGAGCTTCGGTAGGTGGAACTGGAGGAGGTTGCTGCTGATGTGTCCTTTGCCCAAGGCTCGACTTGAGAGCTTGTGTAAACCTTGAAAATAATGGATTCAGTTTTACACGTTAATGTTACAACAGTTGCTTTCATGTTAAATGGGAGGAATGCAACAAATGTTTAAAAAATATCTTGATGCTAAAATGTGTGAAATGCTATTCTTTGGATGCCTCATTTGACTTGCCCCCTCATTTAATGTGGAAGTAAGGATTTTAACATTAATGCATTCAGTTAACATTCTGTTTGCACGTTTTGGTCTAGTGGAAAGCCTGCTAACCACCGTTATTTGTTGGCTTGTTTCCCGCCCTGCACAGGCAGCCCTACTTTTACTTATCCACCTGCACCCGTCATTACCCAGCAACCTCCGCCACCCCCTCCAAGAGTCCAGGTCAAATCCGGTAAGTTAACCATAGAAATCTATTGCCCTTTAAGCAAAGGAGATAATGATGACAACAAATAGGATCGTTGTGGATGGAATAGGAACCATGTCTTGCAACTGTAATACAGTAAGACTGCAATGTCTGCAGGGGATTGGTTCCAAGCCCTCTTGTGGATGGCGGAAACTGCAGATAATAGCGAACACTGTAGGGTCTGGTTCCCTCTAGTGGCCAGTTCAGGTAGTACATCTTGGAAGTATATATATACAGTGGTGCCTCGCACAACAAGCGCCCCGTAGAGCGATGAATTTGCTCTACGGGGACGTTTTTTCGATCGCTAATGCGATCGCAGAGCGACGGCCCCAATGGGCAAAAATTGCAGAGCGAAGGTCGGTAAGCGGTTCACTTACCGACCTTCGCTTTGTGACCGGCCGATCAGCTGTTCCGCAGCTTCAAAATGGCTGCCGGAAGCCCCAAAATGGCCGCGTGCAGCATTTTCGCGCCCTCGTGAAGCGAGGGGAGGGCCCGAAAATGGCTGCTGGTCATAGAGGAACATCGCTGTACAGTGAGTAAATCAGCTGATTGGAACGCATTAAACTAAGTTTAATGCATTCCAATGGCTTTTTTCTTTCCGCACAGCGATGTTTCACACAGCGAGGGTTAATCCGGAACGGATTAACCCTTGGAAATATACAGTATATATATTCTTTTTATATTTTCAGGCCACGGATATGTGAAATCGTGGATACTGATCCGCGGATACAGTGATCCTACTGGACACTGTTACTAGAGAGCAAGCTACAGAGAGCTAACTACAAGGCCTGGTTATTGGCTTGATCAGTCCTCCTCTTCTTGGGGGTGGAGTGGATCTACTTCTACAGTGCATGGAAAAGAATTGTTGTTCTCCCTGGCAGCTTCCGTCTCTAATGGCTTCCTTTTGAGCATGGTACAGCAGCTGCCTTCCACGGCCTTTAATTATTCAGTTCCTGGGGAAGCAAATAGATCTTCCATTTCTGTACCGTTCAACCCAAGTAGCTGTGAAGAATGTTCATAAAATATGCCGCTGCCTCCCTTTATTTTCCAAGACTGGGCTTCTCATCTTTGCTATAGCTGTTATACTTTGACCCAAAACCTGTGTCTCTGCCTAACTGGGACGTCTTCTTGCAGAATCTTCGTATGAGGAGATCCGTCGGAGCAGCTGGGGCGGCAGCCCTATCAGCGCAACTCCCAAAGGTAGCGTTTGTTGATGTGCACCGCGGGGAAGAGTTTCTCTACCGCCAACTGTGCAGGAATAAATGCCAAAGTTTCTGTTTTTCTGTGTTCTTTGAAGGCACGTCCCTAGATCTGTAAATAGCAAGAAAGGGCATCTATCAGAGGCCACTAATAATGGCTGCAAGCTACTGCTAGGATATCCGTCGATACCAACAAATAAAGCCATGTGGTCCTTACCCAGTACAAGAGCAAGGGCAGGTGATACCTTTATTAGAGCACTCCAAAAAAAAGCTAGCTTTCAATCTATACCGGTCTTCATCAAGTGGTGGACCCATTCATTATAGGTAGTGCAGAAGAAGAAGAAACAACAATCCAGCGTCCTCCCCGAAATCATGCCGGATGTCCACGCCACGCCTGTTTCGTAAAAGTGAGTTCCAAAAGACAGGCTGCGAACCCCAGTCCGAAGGTTTCTGGTTCCACCCTGACTGTTCGATTCTCTCTCCCAGCTCACCGAACGAAGGGATGCCCGAGATCCAGCCTCTCTCTCTTCCTCATCGCCTTCTTTTGCAACTAGATTTCTATGTGGCCTAAAAAAGGTTCCCATTAGTGCAGGGGGAAAACATGGACTTTTCCCCTGCACTATCCACAATATAGGGTTGACGAAAACTAGCATAGGTCGGAAACTAGCCATTTTTTAAGTGGATTTTTCAGTGGCCTAATAAAAGTATCACATGTCCTTCCTTTCGTTGTTGTTGTTTAGTCGTTAAGTTGTGCCCGACTCTTCGTGACCCCATGGACCAGAGCATGGCAGGCCCTCCTGCCTTCCACTGCCTCCCGGAGTTGGGTCAAAGTCATGTTGGTTGTTTCGCAGACACTGTCCAACCATCTCATCCTCTGTCGTCCCCTTCTCCTCTTGCCTTCACTCTTTCCCAACATCAGGATCTTTTCCAGGGAGTTTTGTCCTTCCTTTCTTTCATACCAGTCCATAAGTTGCTGAAAAGCAGAAGGAGAACAGAGCTATTTCCTTCAAGCACGACTTAGGTTGTTGAGATAATCAGGGGAGGCCTTTCTCTTGGTCTCACTGCCTTCACAGCTGTGCTTGGTGGAGAGGACCTTCTCTGCTGCTGCTCCCAGTCTTCACAGCTGTGCTTGGTGGAGAGGGCCTTCTCTGCTGCTGCTCCCAGACTCAGGAACTTCACACACACACACCCCCGAAGGGCCAGGCTGGCCCCATCTTGGCTATCCTGCAAGCAGACAAAGACCTTCCCTTTCACGCAGGCTTTTTCTTTGGCAACTTGCTGTCTGAGGGGTTTTTCTGTTTGGTTTTTTCTTTTTAAATGAATTGTGCCTTGTTGCTTTTAGTACCGATTCCATTTTACCATTTTTAGTATAATATTTGTTTAATTCTTTTCAAATATTTGTGCCTTGTTGCTTTTAGTACTGATTCTATTTTACCATTTTTAGTACTGTATAACATTTGTTTAATTCTTTTCAAATATTTGTACACTTACTGCTTTTGCTTTTAAATATTGTGGCTTTTCATGAGGTAAACTGCCTTGAGACCTTTTTTTCAGGAGAAAGGTAGGATAACAATATTTTAAATTAAATAAAATAAATATTTGCGGCTGACATGGAAAACAGATACCAGACGATAGGCAAAGTCTGTCACAAAATATTTTGCCGCATAAGGAGAAGGACGAGAGGACACCCACTTCTGCTCTATGTACAAAACTGTACTGGACTAGCAGTTGATTTATGGTAGAGACTGACAAGTCATAGCATCTCAGAAATAGCTGGATAACTGTATTAAATCTGTTGCATTTAAAAAAAACAGTGTGTCTTGTGACTTAGGAGCCTGACCTGGCGAAAGTTTTCAGGGCCCGTAGCCCACTTTTGCATCAGAAGGGGTGGGTCTACGACCCAGAAAAGCTTAAGCCAAAGAAAGCACGTGCTACAGAACTACGTACTTGTTGGTTTGTGTTTCCCAAGACAGCCGGCCGGCTTAGGGTGTGCAGGGAAAGCTTTGGGGTTCCCTCTACTTCCCTCTCCCAACACCTGGGGGGCTGCCTCCCAGTGCCTGACGCTGTTGACCCTTTCTGCCTAAGGGCAGGGCAGGGCCAGAGCAGATTTGACAGCTCCCCTTTTCTGGATGGACCCTTCCTATCTGTCAAAGGAAACAGTGGCACTTCCGGTGAATCGATCCAGTTTTCCTCCACGAACATCTTTGTGTTGTGCCTTCTTAAAGGCTCTCTTTTCTTCTCTTCCCCATTTCAGGTTCCCTGCCGCAGAACGCAGGAGTGGGGCGGACTCCAGATTCTACACGTGTTGCACCAGGTACCATTGCACACCCGCAACAAACTAGCATTTCTAGTAGAGATGCCTTAGAACTGCATGCTTTTTAAAAATAAAAAAAAATTTAAAAATGAGAAAACAGCCTCTGTTCCTATCCCGTTTCAATAAATGCAGCTTTTGGGTCCCAACTCCCATCCAACGTAACCAGCATAGCCAGTAAGGATGAATGCTGGGTGTTGTAGTCTTGGAACAGATGAAGGCTGCTTTTTGACCACCCTTGCTTTAACTGCATGCTAAACCTTTGGAGTTGCTGCTGTCTCCATCTCCACCCACAACTTTGGGAGATCAAGTTATTAAAGAAGGACAGGCAAAGTCCCTTCTAGGCTGTAGCTCTCATGAGCTGCTAGCAGAAGAGTTGAGGAATGCTGGGCATTGTAGTGCAAGAACATCTGGAAGCCACCCTTTGCCCACTCCCATATTATGGAAAGAAGAGCAGACTGTACGGTGGGTTTGGTTTTTCATGTGTTTGCTCCTAATCAGACTCCCATTCTGTTTTTTAAAAAAGAAATATGGGCTTTATGGAATGATGGTGGCAAACATATTTACATGAAAATCTTAAGAAACAAATTTTGCTTCTGGAGATGGTGGGAAGATGCTGGGCTAGGATGGCTCTGTTTCCGAAAAAGGAGAAATACAATATCAAAAAGTGGACATCAGTTTGCATACATGCCGAGGCCAATATATATGCACAGATAGATGTACATTCAAAGAATGATGATGGTGGTGGTGGTGGTGGTGGTGGTGGTGGTGGTGGGGATGATGGTGATGATGATGGTGATGGTGATGATGATGATGATGATGATGATGATGATGATGATGATGATGATGGCATCACATGCACACATCCCACAGCTTGGCCCTATGTCTCCTTTTATTTGATTTGGGTATGTTAGGAGCCTGGATAGTGCCATTTCAAGGTGACCAGGAGCTGCTTGGCCATGACTTTCCCCTTCTTTTGTGCTTCAGCACATGGCTGACTTATAATAATAATAATGTCAAGTCAATGTATTCTCAAAGGCTTGTCAAGTCAATAATGTCAAGTCAGTTCTGACTAATGATGACTCTTTTTCAGGGTTTTCCAAGTAGAGAATACTCAGTTTATTGTTCTCTTTTTCTGGGGTGCCCTGGGATTGTGCAGCGTTCTCTTTTTCTGGGATGCCCTGGGACTCTGCAGCTTGCTCAAGGCCACCCAGGCTGGCTCTTCTCCCTGGAGGAACAGGGGAACTTGCAACTCCACAGCCAGATCCCTAAACCACTGTGCTCTTCAGCCAGCTTTAGAAAAGATTACTATTACAGTGGTGCCCCGCATAGCGACAATAATCCGTGCAGCCAAAATCGTCGCTATACAGATTCGTCGCTATGTGAAAAGAAAAAGCCCATAGGAATGCATTAAACCCCGTTTAATGCGTTCCTATGGGCTTAAAACTCACCGTTCTGTGAAAATCCTCCATACGGTCTCTCATTAAGTGAGGCACCACTGTATTTAAATAGAAATACCACACACTTCCTCAGACAGGGGCCGACTCTGTCCAGCTGGCTTCTGTGCCCATTCTATCTTCTCTCCTAGTGCTGCTTCATGTGCATAGCCAGCTTCAAGGTTGCTGCTCCCCCCTCCTTATGTTTCTTTTTATTTAAACCATTCGTACAGGAAAAGCCCTCGGATGGGATGGCTTCCATCAAAAGACTGGTGTTGGACGGCTGTCCAAAGACAGGTTTCTCCCCTGTAAAGCAGGACCCACGGCCTACCAGAATAGGAGTTTTGATTTCACCGGCCCAAATCCTGATGCTTAGTTCCATTGATTCCAAAAGGACCTACTCTGTGATTTACTTTAGTGCTGGAAGTCATAGTTAGAGCAGGTCCATTTGATTCAATGGAATGAACAGAGGAGATGACTCGCCAAATCACCATTGATTCAGTGGGCCTACTCTAGTATGATTTGCTACGCTGAGCTCAGGATTTTAGCCACTGTGTCCAGGAAAAGAGTTTGGCAAGTGTCAAAAGTACATTTCTTTAAAAGTGCTGGTGGGGAAAAAGCTATTTAAAATACATTTAGTAAATGAAATAATTAATCAACCCTACCAAGATGGTGTTTTGAACTCAGCTCCCTATCTACAACAATGTCTACAAGAATGTGACGACTCTCCAGTGGTTAGGATTTATCCTTTCTAAAATGGCGAGCTGTGTTTTGTTACTTTGTACCCACCTGTGCTTGGTTTGGAAGTCTGGATTCTTATTTCTGAATACTCTTCCTTTTAGAATGTGCACTCACACACTCACACACTCACACACACACACACACACAAACACACACATCCGTGCACACACAGAGTAGGACTGCTTCATCCATGAGGTCTTGGTTCCAAGCTGCCCTTGTGGATGCTAAAAACCTCGGATAATAATGATTCCTGTACATAGCATAGTCTCTGGTTCCCTCTATTGGCCAGGTCTGGTAATCACACCATGGAACTATGTATTTCTGAGTTATCTTGATTTATTTATTTATTTATTCTTACTTTTCCCTATCCTTTATTTTATTTTATTATTGAATTATTGAATTGTCATGTACTTACCTGTGTTTTATTGTCTGATTTTGTATTGGAAGCCGCCTAGAGTGATCTGGTAGTCCAGATAGGCGGGGTATAAATCAAATCAAATCAAATCAAATCAAATCAATCAATCAATCAATCAATCAATCAATCAATCAATCAATCAATCAATCAATCAATCATTTAAAATATTTTCAGATTGTGGATAAGTGAAATGTGGATACCAGTCTCACAGATATAGAGGTCTTACTGTACTCTGTGTGCATATATGTTTCTCTGTGAAGATAAATGTCAGGATTCTGATCTAGCCTTCCACCTGTGATCTGTCTCTTTTGTGCAGAGATTTGTTTCCATTTAGAGGCAAATTCATCCATTGAGCCTTAGAAGCAATCTCTGAACTAGTATAGCCCTGAATGTAGGTGTATCACCTTAGCCCGATTTAGGCAAGAGACAGGCTCCAAATACACTGAGGCATGGCAGGTGATGGGGAGAGGCGGATGGGGAAGAGGGACCTTTCTTGACTCTGCCCTCTTGCTGATTCTCCTTTTGTTTGCAGCAGATCCATATCAGGTGCTGGGACCCACTAGCAGCCGCTTGGCAAACCCAGGTGGGTCCAAATTTCTGATCTTCTGGGAAGCTGTGGGTAGACATAGTAGGATTTGGAAGGGTATGCCCCGTCTTTTCACAAAGCAATGGCAAGGGGGAGCTTAACCTGTTGGATTTTTGCCTGACCTGCTGCTATTTCAAGCCAGAAGGTGAGTGGAATGCAGCAAACAGAGGCTGGTAACGCCCTCCAACTGGTGTAGCAAGTCAAGCTGTGACCTGCAGTGACCCCAACCAACCTGATGGCACCCAATGGGTTGGATTTGTGACTCCCGGAAGTCCTCAGCTCACCGGGGGTTGTGGCCCAACACATATGGGAGTGCCAGGTTTGGAAAGGCTGATTTGCAAAGGATGTTGTTGAACTACATTTCCCAGAGTTCCCAGGCAGCAGGGCCAGTAGTCATGGATCCCGGGAGTTGTTGACTCAAAACATTTGGAGTAGAAAGTTGGAAAAAAGCATTCACAGTTTGACCTGCCTTTTCAGGTCCATCCAATTGCTGAAGAGCATCATACAAAAACAGGCTTCCCACCCACCCCCTTTCTCCACCCACCTCCTTTCTGGCAGCAAAACAGGTCTGGAGGAAATGTCAGATACATTGGCCTGGCAAGGAGCAAAGGGCTGCTAACTCATCTCTTGTCTCTCCCTGGCAGGCAGTGGCCAGATCCAGCTGTGGCAGTTCCTGCTGGAGCTGCTGTCGGACAGCAGCAACGCCAACTGCATCACCTGGGAGGGGACGAACGGCGAGTTCAAGATGACGGATCCCGACGAAGTAGCGCGGCGGTGGGGCGAGCGCAAGAGTAAGCCCAACATGAACTACGACAAGCTGAGCCGGGCGCTGCGCTACTACTACGACAAGAGCATCATGACCAAAGTCCACGGCAAGCGCTACGCCTACAAGTTCGACTTCCAAGGCATCAACCAAGCCCAGCAGGGTCAGCCGGGGGATCCTGCCCTTTACAAGTACCACCACACGGACCTGCCTTATCTTCCCCCCTATCACCAGCAGAAGGTGGGCTTCGGCCTGGGCCACACCACGCAGATGCCCGCTTCCTCGGCCGGCTTCTTTGGGAGCCCCTCTCCTTACTGGAATTCCAGCAGTGGGAACATCTACCCCAATGCCAACATGCCAAGACAGGCCAGCAGCCATTTGAGTTCCTTCTATTAATCTCTGGGTGTTTTGGAGACCCCCTGAACTTCTGCTACTCACTCAAACATCCACAAGTCCCCCCAGAATCCAGTCAGCTTAAAGACACAAGAAGGTGATAGCCATCGTGACTGTGGCGAGTCATGGGGGAAACCCTTTCCTGTCCTTTTCACTCTTCCATAAAGCCATCTGTTCTTCTCATTTATCCCTGGATTCAGCTCGAACCTCTCAGCCAACCGGCTCCCCTATTTTCACGAGATCTTTAATTCCTTGCACAAGATGGGAGGGACGAGCCATTCCAGGAGATGCAGAGATGCTTGGTATCCTTGTGCTGGTATCTTTTAGTACAGGGATTCCCAACCTTGGGCCCTCAAGATGGTCTTAGACTACAATTCCCAGAAGCCTTCACCACTCGCTGTGCTGGCCAGGATTTCTGGGAATGGTAATCCAAGAACATCTGGGGACTCAAGGTTGGGAACCCCGTCTTAGTATCAGGGAGTTGCTTGTTTAGTTTCTCTTTCTGTGTGGCAAAAGACAATGTGGCTCTACCTCCAGTCCCTCCACACACCCCTTTCCTTGGTCCAACTCAATTAGCTCTTGCACAGTGGTTAAACTGCTGTACCGCAGCCAAAACTGTGCTCACGACCTGGGGTTCAATCCCAGGTAGCCGGCTCGAGGTTCACTCAGCCTTCCATCCTTCTGAGGTTGGTAAAATGAGTAGTCAGCTCGCTGTTGGGGCAGTAATTAACTTGTAAACGGCCCAGAGAATGCTTGAAGCACCATTGGGTGGTATATAAGCAGCTTGATTTGCTTTTTGAAGCTTTCTTCAACTTTGGGGAGGTGGAGGTGTCCAGAGTCCACTCCCGTACCTAAAGACAGCAAGTGAGCTTGGAAGGCCCAGTGTGAGTCACGAGGCACCTTCACGGACTCTCTGCTAACGCTTTCCCTCTTGACAAAAAATGGACGTGACCAGAACCTTATTTCTGGTGGGGGAGGGGGGAAAGAAACTAAACTTGTCCTCATCCCCCACTTGATTTGCTTTTTGAAGCTTTCTTCAACTTTGCGGAGGTGGAGGTGTCCAGAGTCCACTCCCGTACCTAAAGACAGCAAGTGAGCTTGGAAGGCCCAGTGTGAGTCACGAGGCACCTTCACGGACTCTCTGCTAACGCTTTCCCTCTTGACAAAAAATGGACGTGACCAGAACCTTATTTCTGGTGGGGGAGGGGGGAAAGAAACTAAACTTGTCCTCATCCCCCACCAAAACAAATTGTGCTTTTTGCTCCATTCAGCCAACGTACAATTCATTTTTTTCCTAATAGAAAGAAGAAATGGGGGGGGGGCCTGCCGCAGGCTGCAGAAAAGGTCTGCGTGTGGTGATATGCATTCCTTGACCTTCCTGGAAACATTACATTTTGGGCAGTTTCCTCAGGTTTTTTTTAGTTCCAATCCCCTTATATGTTTCAAATGTGCATTGAGGGGCCTGCTCCCTCATTTTTTTACAGCACATATAGCAGTCCGTCACTATTGTGACCAATCTCTAACAGTTCCTGACCCAGCAGTAAAAAAAATTAAGTGTTAAGTGGTCTTGGGGGGAGAGACACAGCACACAGAAAATAATGGCAGCTCCGGTTGATCTTGTTAACAACAAATTCCACCGCGTTTCACAGCGTTTGGTGCAGCGACGGATCCCACCAATTTCAGACTTGCTGAGGATGGGGGTGGTTCAAAATGGCATGGTTGCTATCTTTAAAGGAATATTTGCAGTGCTTTGGAAGGAAGGGGTGTGTGTCGCAATTTGATAAGTGCCTATTGGCCAGCATCCATGCCACATTCACCACTATTGCTTTTGCTCCCTTAGTGGAGTCCGGTTTGTAAAACCTAAGGAAAAAATGTTCATGAAACGGAGCCAAAAAGAAGAGAAATTCTCAAATGATTTCCAGTGAATTCACGGAGCTCTAGCTAGACCTGACTGCAGCAGCGAAAAAATGAAACTGAGCTAACTTTTAGGGCAGGCGGACCATGAGGTCCTAGGGGGCGGAGCCAGTGGAGTCCTGTTTGTAAAACTTAAGAAAAAAATGTTCATGATTTCTGTCTTCATTTTAATTTTCTGGGAAAGGTGAAACATAAAAGTAGATGCTTTGTATAAAACCTATAAATGCCCATGTGCAGTTTAACAAATTGTATGAGGCACTCGCCTGGGAGAGCAAATGAACCAAAAAACAAACAAACCAGCACTTGTAGTGTGATTTCACAGAGGCCATGAAGAAGAACCTATAAATGCCCATGTGCAGTTTAACAAATAAATTGTATGAGGCACTCGCCTGGCCTGAAGGATGAGAGAGAGCAAATGAACCAAAAAACAAACAAACCAGCACTTGCGTTGCCTCTATGTGTACATCTAAGTCAAAGATGCTGGGTTCACAGTGGAGATAAAGAATTCACTCTTAACGGCTACGAAGGGTGTTTGATTTATCTCCAATGCTAGTTACTGTACCAGTAGCTGTTATATCTGTTTTTCAGCCCTGCAACTCTAAGCCTCTAAGCACAATTACTAGAGATAATAACTAGAGTTCAAGGCGAGGAGGAGGAGGAGGAAGAGGAGGATGTGGCTTCAACTCAGTTCTGCCTTTATGGCAACCTTTTTCAGGGTTTCCAATACTCAGAAGCGGTTCACCACTCCCTTCTCCAGGGGCTATCCTGAGATTGCGCAGCTTGCCCAAGGCCACACAGGCTGACTTTTCTCTCAGCGGGGAATCGAACCTGCGACCTCTAACTCTGCAGCCAAATATTTAACTCACTGAGCTATCCAGCAAGGCTCTAGCATGGGGTATTTTCCAGACTCTTTCGACGACGTGCACATATTGCATTATTATTTTTCCTTGTGGAATCCATAACAAAATCTTAAAGGGTATTTTTTCCCCCTATTCCAGTTAATTAACCAGTCCCACTCATACTCGTCTAGTGATACAATCGGCCCTACCGTCCGCAGATAGGAGAAATGCTTGGCTATCCTAGCATGCGATTGCATCATTTCTTCCCAGGATTCTCACAACTGTCTGGAGAGATGTCGTGTGGGGTTATCGCAGGGAGGGGCATCAGCGTCATGCACCAAACCATCTAGCCCTAAGCTCTACATCTTTCTCCCCATCACCCACAAAGAATCCATGTTATCCTTGAACATGATTGTTAAACTTGCATTAGTCTGGGATGTTGATGAGACTTAAGTAAGCACCTGAACCACATTTACAGTAGGTTGGAGACAGGATAACCCCCTCCCATTCTTTCCCTTTTACTTCTGAAAGGCTCCTTGGCTTTCTGAGGGGGAGCTTTGCTACATTTCCACCTACTGGACTTTTTAAAGCTGGCTGGGGAGGCAGTGGCTTTTTCCCCCTTCAAAACCATAAGAATTTTCAGGTTACATTCATTTGAAAACAGGCCAGGTGAGCAGGAAAAGGGGGGGAAACCAGGTATGTCTCCAAGCCATTATTTGGTCATACCTGGGTTTGCAAAAATGTGGTTCTGAAGACTAAAAACCCAGCTGAAGAGATGTGCTGAAATTACACTTCCATCGAGGGGCCTTGAAATTAAAATTTTTAAATGGGGGACTGAGGGTACAACCCATCTCAACCTCTAGGAGTTGCCTTACCCCCTACATTAAGCAAGGGTAGGCAACACTTCACCCCTCCAGGGGCTGGGGTATAATCCTTATCTGTGATTCATTCACACCTGCCTGGCTTTGGGGGTTGGAGCAAAATAGGTCAACATGTGTACAGTAGATACTATCTTTTGTCGGTCTGTTTTCTTTTTAAGAACATGTTTCTTCTAGCCCTTTGCACTGAAATGGCACACACCCAGAAAGGTCGATCGGGGCAGAGGGTTTCATGTGTGTGTTCTTCCCTGCAGTTTTCTCGTCTCCACTAGAACAGAAACAGAATTCCGTCTGCAATCTGGGCAAGTGGACAGAGAGATCAAAATGGACTTAAACATCAAATTGTGGACCCTACCCATTCTTTTGAATACCCCTTCCTCCACGGGACACACTTTTAATTTTGTAGAATTTGGTCGTTCTGTAACTAGTCTTCTGTGTAATAAAATTCAAGCTGTAGTTTAAAAAACGAAGCTGTCTGGATTTGATATAGGGTTAGGGCCATGTCATGGCTGGAAGGAAGGAGACGAAGTCATGCATGCACTTCAGATCCATCACTTCACTCATCCTTACAACACACCTTTAAAGGAGGCTAGAGGTGAAATTAAGATATCACAGTACAGTTGTAAGGGATAGGTTCAACGGATAAGCAAAACCTATCCCTTTCTTTTTTTATTTCTTCACATATTTACTATTTGAAACCATTTCTAATAATAATTCTGTGCTGTCAATTGACAACTCTTTCCAGGGTTTTCCAGGTGGAAAACACTCCAAAGTTTTTGCCCATTCCCTTCTGGGGGCATCCTGGGGCTGTGGTTTTCCAGGTGGAAAACACTCCGAAGTGTTTGACCATTCCCTTCTTCTGGGGACATCCTGGGGCTGTGCAGCGTGCCCAAGGCCACACATGCTGCTCTTCGGAGACACACACTGAGGGACTGAACTCTTAACCTCTGCCCTGCAGCCAGATATCTAGCTCACTAAAGCTATCCAGCCACAAAACCATTTCTGCAGAATCCCAATGCCATTACAGTGATGCCTCACTTAGCGATTGCCTCGTTTAACGATGTATTTGCTTAGCGATGGGTTTTTTTGAGCAATTTTGCGCTCCGTTTAGCGATGTTTCCTATAGGGAAATTTTGCATAGCGATGTTCAGGACCTTGCCTCGCTTAGCGATGACAGTTTAGGTCCCCCTGTTTCACTTAACAATGTCCGTTTTTGCAATTGTTCAAAAACGGTTTCAAATGCTTGGGATCGTTAATGCACATTGCAAAACCTGTGCAAACTTAATTTGGCTTTGTTCTGAGTCTTCGTTAATTTTGGTGAATTTTTTTCTCCCCCCATTGGAACGGATTAACCGGTTTTCAATGCATTCCTATGGGAAATGGTGTTTCGCTTAGCGATGTTTTCCCATAGCGATATTTTTTGGGGAACCAATTAACATCATTAAGCGAGGCACCACTGTACTGTATTCCTTGACCTTAGCCAAGATGGGCCAATGAGCCACACTGGCTGATGTTGATGAGTACACCTCAGGGGTGGGGGTGCAGGGTACAAATTAAGAACAAATGGAGGGTGCCAGATGGGGAAGGCTGCCTCACACATGGCAGATAATGTTGAGAAATATTTATCAAAATTGATAAGGAGGCACGCCAATCATGTAAGCCCATGGGGTGCCGTGAATGATCTATACCTGATCAAATACTAGATTGATTGATTGTACAGCACTGAATTGCAGAAACAGATAAACATCTTGTCTTTCAAACCTGTCTGCGATGACTGATTTTTCTCACTAGGGAACCCTATTAAACTTCTAAGAAACATACAGGATGTAGGCTATTGTCTTATACCAAGTAACTAGGAAATAGAGTTTAATGTTGCCTACACCAGTAACTCTGTAGAAGATCCTCATTTTTCTTTATATGGACCAGCAGGTTTCCGGGATAATCATGTGGCATCTTTCCTATCCCTATCCAGAGACAGTTGACATCTGCATATAAAGTGTGCCTCTTAGCAATGAGTTCCTGCTTTGTCATCATGTGTATCTTAGAATTGCACAACTGTAAGGAACCCTATGGGTCATTGAGTCCAGCTCATCAGGGAGGCACAGTGGGGAATCAAAACTCCCAACATCTAGATCCACAGCCAGATACCTCGACCACTGAGCTATCTAGCAGTCATAGCAAGCTGCCTTACAGCGATTCAGGTTGTTGGCCAATCTGGATCAGTGTTGTCTACACTAGGGGTGAGCAACTGAGACCCTCCATATGTTTTTAGCTATCAAGGTCCATTATCCCTATCCTGTTGGCTAAGTGGTGGGGGATAATGCAAGTGGCAGACGAAAATGTTCAGAAAGCCACCACTACTGTTCAGGATTCCAGCTTTTCCCAGTCCTGCCTCCTATTGGCAACTGAAGCCAGTAGCTTCTCAATGGTCAGTTTTGAAGAGCAGGTACAGTCTCACTCACCACCACCACTGGACCATCTGCTTCAGCCTTCCTTGAGCATCTGACAGTCATTCCCTCAATCTTCAGTCAGAACAGCTCAGACTCTGGAAGGGTACACGATGTGCAAAGCATGTGCCTCTTGCTCTCAATTCCAGGGGTTCTAAATGTTTTCTGGAAGCTGAATTCCAAAATGGGTTGGCTTGGGCCCAAGATATCTCAAGGACTGTGTCCCCCTCTATGAGCCTTCCCAGGTATTACAGTCATCAGGAGAGGAGCTTCCCTCCGTTCCACTACCTTCACAGGCACGCATTTGGTGGTGACATGGGAAAGGGCCCTCCCTGTCCGTGCTCCCAGACTCTGGAACTCTCTCTCATGGGAGGCCAAGTTGGCCCCATATTTGCTATCCTTCCTCCAGCAGGCAAAGACATTACTCTTCAGGCAAGCTTTCTCGCAGTGACTAGCTGTCTGAGACTTTTTAAAAAGGATTGGTTTATTCGTTGAGCTTTATATATTATTCTTATTAGGCGTTTTAATATGATAGCTGCTTCATGCTTTTTTATATACAGTGGTGCCCCGCATAACGAGCAATTCGTTTAACGACGAATCCGCATAGCGATGTTTTTTGCGATCGCAAAAGTGATCACATAACGATGTTTTAAATAGGAAAACATCACTTTGCGATGATCGGTAAGCGTTTCACTTACTGATTATCGCATGACGATGTTTTCTTAAACAGCTGATTGGCGGTTCCAAAATGGCTGGCGGGTAAAAAAATGGCCGCCTGCAGTGTTTCGCGCCCTTTCCTTGCTTACTGGGCAGCGAAAATGGCGGCCGCATGGAGGATTTTCGCAGAACTGTGAGTTTTTTGCCCACAGGAACGCATTAAACGTGTTTTAATGTGTCCCTATGGGCTTTTTTGCCCCGCATAGCGACGAATCCGTATAGCAACAATTTTTTTGAAACGGATTATCGTCGCTATGTGGGGCACCACTGTATATTGTAAAAATCTATGATTTAGCTTTTCTTTCTTTTAATACTGTAAGCTGCCTTGAATCCTTAAGGGAAAAGACAGCACATAAATATTTTAAATAAGCAAATAAAATATCTAGACAGCCAAGTCAGCATTACGGAACCACTGCTATAGAACAAGAGTTTCAAGACTATTTTGCTAAAGATGCAAAGCGCAGAGAGAATCTCCCAGAGGTGGCCTGCTGTAGTCTTTCAACCCATGCCTTCCCTGGCTTCTGCTCCTTTATTTATTTAGTCAAGGGAGCCGAGCAAAGCCTGGCCCACCTCAGCAGCTGTTGTCTGCCCCATAGCCTTCCTCCTCTGCTGTGGTCAAAGCTCCCGCCTCCCTGCTGCTTCATCCCATCTGCTTCCTGCTCTTGTGCCCTAAGCTTCAGCTGCCTTTCCTGTTTGTCCAGTTCCAGGACAATGCAGACAGATTGTCTCGCAAAAGCAAGGCAGAGAGGCAGAACAATGAGGGAACAGGCAGGTCAGGGAGTAACAAATGGGGAGGCTTACGTCCCTTCCCTTGCTTGGTTCTGTTTATCTCTCATGGTGGTGGTGGTGAAATGCATCTCTTCCCATTCTGAATGACACAGGGAGAAGGAGAGATACTTCACGGGGAGAAGGAGAGATACTTCACTAAGGGCCAAACTCTGTATTATGGAAAACAGACTCTTTTAGCTGAAACGACAATAAGTGTTCTAAAGACGTGACTCTGGCAGGCTTGTGGGTCTGAAAAGCCACACCTGCAAATGAAGTCCAGGTTTACCAATCGCAAACCATGCAAAATAATTCACAAGATGCAGGAAGCATGAGAAAATTCCACTTTGACAATCTTATATTTTTCACACTCTAGATGTGGTTTGACTGCATCTCCCATGGCTTCCTCCTCATTGGCTAGACTGGCTGAGACAGACTGGAACTTCAGGCTGGTCACATCTGGAGAGCAGCAAGGTGCCCAGCCCTTTGGTACAAGGGGGCTCCCTAGGGTGCTGAGGAGATGAATAATGGAGGAGAAAGGTGTCGTGAAACTGGAGTCCCCAAAAATGGCTTTCCTCCCCTTTCACAGGCCAGCTTCCTTTGCTAGTATTCTGAGTTATGTATAGATCTTCCCCATTCCAAACAAATGGGAAGGCTTCCTTAAAGCTTATTTACTGGCAGTGAGAGACTGTATATATCTTCCCCATTCTAAACAAATGGAAAGCCTCCCTTAAAGCTTATTTACTGGCAGTGAGAGATTACACTAAAGCAGTGGTACCCTATCTTGGGTGTCCAGATATTCTTGGACTAAAACTCTCAGAAGCCTTCACCACTAGCTGTGCTGGCCAGGACTTCTGGGAGCTGAAGAATATCTGGGGACCCGATGCTTGGAACCACTTGACTAAAATATCATTAACCTAAGAGAATCTTGTCTAGTGGTTGTTGACTGTGTTGAACACCAAGACATCTGTTCAAAACAAAAAAAACACTTGCAAGAGGTAGCAATGCTGCAAAAGAGACATGCCAACATGTGACAAAAATCCAACTGGATGCGGCAAGTGGCATTTCTAGTCCAGCACTCCTGCCATGAAGTCAATGAACCCCTCTCTGCTGTGTCTCCGATAATTGACAAATTAATGCCTCTGATAAGTTGCGCTAGCATTTATAACTACACCCAACCCTCTTCCACCAAAAGGAAAGGAAAAGAACACCGTAAAACAAAACGTTTGGAACAAAGGGAAAACACTGGAGGCCAAACCCCACACAAAACACAAACTGAGCTCTCATGGTAAGAAACCAAAAGTTACACACAAATTTATTGTCTTAGAACATTTCTACACAAGAAATTATCCTGTTATTATCCAGAAACTATCCCAAGCAGGGACTACGGGTTGTGTTTGCTTCATAGAAAGCCTGGAGAGCCACTCTTAGTCTGTAGGAGTTCTTGGGGAAGAGACGTGAGTGCTTGGAACCACTCCACTAAAATATTATTAACCTAAGAGAATCTTGTCTAGTTGTTGTTGACTGTGTTGAACACTAAGACATTTGTTCAAAACAAAACAAAAAACTTGCAAGATGTAGCAATGTTGCAAAAGAGACATGCCAACATGTGACAAAAATCCAACTGGATGCGGCAAGTGGCATTTCTAGTCCAGCACTCCTGCCATGAAGTCAATGAACCCCTCTCTGCTGTGTCTCCAATAATTGACAAATTAATGCCTTTGATAAGTTGTGCTAGCAAACTTCCACCAAAAGGAAAGGAAAAGAACACAGTAAAAGAAAACGTTTGGAACAAAGGGAAAACACTGGAGGCCAAACCCCACACAAAACACAAACTGAGCTCTCATGGTAAGAAACCAAAAGTTACACACAAATTTATTGTCTTAGAACATTTCTACACAAGAAGGCTGTTATTATCCAGAAACTATCCCAAGCAGGGACTACGGGTTGTGTTTGCTTCATAGAAAGCCTGGAGAGCCACTCTTAGTCTGTAGGAGTTCTTGGGGAAGAGACGTGAGCAGGTACATGTCTTTGGAACACACAACGCCTCTGATGGGATGGCTATGACAGTAGCTACAGAGCACCTCTGACCTCCGGCTAGCAAAGAGCTTCTATGATCTCCATCTTCCCCAGGAGAAGGGCAGGACTGAGAATATACCGCAGTACCCACTTACTGGGGTTTGGGGCAAAACGGCAGATTCTGTCACCTTCAGTCGGCTACCTCAGTCCCAGCTTCTTCTTCTCCTTTTGCTTCTTGCGCACAATGTCAATGTTGCGGTCCTTCCACATGCTTTTGCGCAGTTTGATGGGTCGGCTGCCTACATATTTTCCTGTTAAGAGCACAGGGAGAGAAGAAAAAGGAAGAGCATTCAAGTTAAGATGGTCTTGCTGAAATGTGCCACTCTTGAATGGTGAGGGCTCTCGTCCAGCTATCTTCTAGTGAACACTTGGGCTCTGCCTGTGATTGCCACCAACATCTTAACACTAGCTTGAATAATAAATCTTCTGCCTATACAAATCAACTCCAGCTACACAATCAAAGAGCCAATGAGGAGATCATGAATATTGGTAGCAGCAATGCCACCAAATGGAACTATGGCAATAAGCTCAAACAATTCACAACCACCACCAAGATTTACAGGCTGCAAGACTCATTCTAGACCAATTTGCGTGTGACCTTGGTAATCAGTGAAAGTTAGTGATTGCATCCAACACTTTCCTGAGCAGTCGCAGGAAACTCTTCCATGTTACATCATGCTCAGGTCAGTGGAAGCACCTGGGGCATCTCCAAAGCAGACACAACTGGAAAGACAAGCCCTCTTTGCCATCCAAGGTGATGGGTAGGAAGCTGGACATCACTTTGACCATCCTTGGATCCCCAGATGTTCTTGGACGAAAACTCCCAGAAATCCTGGCCTGCACAGCCAGTAGTGAAGCCTTCTGGGAGTTTTTAGTCAAAAAAACCTGGGGACCCAAGGTTGGGAACCACTGCAATGGGATCTTGCTATCTCAACCACATGGAACTGCTTGATAAAACGTCTTACACAAAATGACTTTTATCTAGTACAACACACTACCTGCAGCACTCCCACGCTAAAGGCAGACCCCGTCTTATCACGTCCTACGTGATCTTTAGTGGCAGATGCCAGCAATCCAACCTGGGGAGTTTGCAGGCCAAGCACATCCTCTGCCAGTGAACTGCAGTTCTTTTGCACTTCCAATAAGCACTGACGAGGATTTCTGCTGGGAATCAAATGAGCAGTTCCAGACCATGTACAGCAATTCCAGACCATGTACCCCTTCTTCATGGGGACTAAGCAACCCCACTAACTGAGGTTCTAGCACGGCGTTTGACAAGGGCTGCATCTCACCATTCATTTCCCGCATGGCTCGGACATAGTCATTCGGGTCTTTGAAGCTGACGAAGCCATAGCCTTTCGTCTTGCCAGTGCGCTTGTCCCGGATCACCTTAGCCTTCAGAAAGGACGGGTAGCGGCTGAAGGCACGTGCAAGGATGTCATCATTCACCTCGTTCCCCAGATCCCCGCAGAAGATCCGGAAATCATCTGGAGAAAAGAAGGCCAGAACATTAAACAACCTGGCCTTTATTAAAGCTTCGTGTGGCATATTAACTTCCAAGCCCACAAGGTGACAGAGAGCCTTCAAAGCATGCGGGCAAAAGGCCAGCCCAGAAGGATTTACCATCTATCACAGTGGTTCCCAACCTTTTTTGAGTCGTGACCCCTTTTTATAACAGCCAGGAAACCTGTGACCCCCTCCTCCCTTTGCATAAAAAGGCATTTTTAATGGCGTGAAGTCACCCCTTCTCAGAAAGTAGAGGCTTCTTTCTCCTTCAAAGGGCCTGCTTCTTATACATACATGTACATGCTAACTTTAATATCCCACTTTGAAAGGTCAAGGAAGAAACTATTTAACAAGGGCCACAACACATTTTGACCAAACTCTGGGAGGCAGTGGAAGGCAGGAGGGCCTGGCGTGATCTGGTCCACGGGGGTCACAAAGAGTCGGACATGACTTAATGACTAAACAACAACAGCAACACATATAAGATGACCCATGACCCCTCAGAAAATGCATTGCGATCTCCTTGGGGGACATGACGCCAGGCTGGGAAACACTGATCTACACCCCCCCTTCCTGCTATGTGAAATTACACAGTCTTACTGTGCTTATTTCCTTTACAAATAAGGTATGTGGTCAGGACATAAAACTCAGAACCATCAGCAAATTCAAAAAGAGATCAACATAAACACACACCCCAATGTAGCGTGAAGGCTAAGTTTAGAAGACCTCGACACCTGTGCCTTTGTTGTTTTGAAACAAGGATTTTGAGTAGTTACGTTCTACCTCTGGCTCTGCTTACCGGGTGACGCCTACGTGGAGTCAAAGCTAGAGGCTCAGAGCAGTGGGGACCTGCCTGTCTGCAATGTGGTGCTTGGTGATGCTTGACTCCTAGTCTGAGTTACAGGCCTGGGATGGCGGCGGACACCGCTTGAGAAGTGGCTGGCATTCTTTCTGCCTTTTCCTGCCCCAGCACCGCAGTTGAGTCAGGGTAGGCTCACCAGGTTGGAGCTGATGCGCCTGGTACTCGTTGCAGATTCCACCATACGTTAGGTGGCAATACACACTTGAGTGCTGAAAACTGTCACTCTCCCCCTTGGGCCCTTTTAGCTGCACAATCACTCGGATCCAAGGATCCTCCTCTGTGTCTCCTCTGTGTCTCCTCTGGTCTCCATCACCCTTTCTGCATCCCACCCTCACTCTGGGTGTGGGCATCCCAATTCCTGGTCTCCCAACCCTTGTGGCAATTGGGGCCTCAGCAGGACCTGGTGTCCTTACAGGCACAGCCCCCCAACACTCACCAGGATCCCATTCAAGCAGGCTTGGATCTTCCCAACAGGTCCCGGCAGCTGTTCGAATGCAGCGCTTCAGCTTCTCCTGTTTGGTCTTCTTTTTGTCCTCGGGGACACTCTCGGCTACAGGCTACAGGGAAGAAGGAAGGAAGGGCTGACTCATGGATCTGCTACCACCAGAAACTTGTTTCAAATGGAATTCTACATTCAATCCACTGGATTCTGAGCACACGACGATGATACTCAAAACTGGAAACTCTCCCCATCCAACCCCGATCTCAAAAATTCATACCTGGCTCAGATCACTGGATAAGACTCCGAAATTCCTGCAACATGCTTCTAAATGGCTTGAACCCACCACTCTGGTGGCATTCTGGGCAAAAACATAGGCTAGCCCTGTCCAACTCTGCGCCCTCCCCTCAGATTTGATGGAGAGTCCCATCTAAACAGCAGAAGTGTTTTGGTCCAACAGAACCAGAAGACACAAAGATAGGAAGGCTACAGCTAAGAATGAGAAGTGATTAGCCACAATTCCTGCACTGTAACTTCAGGTTTCAAGGCAACACACCGGAGCACACCCTTGTGTGAGGAAGCCACAGTGGACAACAATGGCCCTCATGTCTTGCTGAGGTCAGCCACCTTTTGTTATTATTATTTTTTACATTTATATCCTGATTTTCCTCCCAGAAGCTCAAGGTGGCATACAAAGCGCTCCTCCTTCTCCTCTCCAGTTTACCCTCACAATACCTTTTTGAGGGCAGGCTGGGAAAGCATGACCAGCTCAAAATCACCCAGTGACCTTCATGGCTAAATACAAGTTTTACCCTAGGTCTTCCGAAACCTCAGTCCAACACTAGAGACTTTTGATCTGATCAAGATATTCCAATATGCCACTAATCCCTCCTTTAACAGATAGCAGCATATGCTCTGCATGCATGAAGTCTCCAGTTCAATCCCTGGCAACTTTTAAAGAGTCTAGACTTCACCTATGCTTTTCCACCCCGACGCTCCAAGATGTGTCAGGCCAGAATTTCCATGATTTTTCCATGAATTGTAAGAATTATAGCCCAACACAGATGAAGGGACACAGGTTGAGACAGCAAGGACAAGACCTTGTTGTACCCAAGATTATATAAATGTAAGGGTGGGCAATACCTTTTTTTGGACCACTGAAAATTCATACAAATGGCAAGCTTTTCGTGGAAAAAAAACACCACTTCTTCAGGCTCAGCCCAATCCCTTCATGCACAGTGCAGAAAAACTGTAGACAAGAGTCCAAAAATTGATGGCGCATGTGTGAGAAGCGATCCCAGTCCTCTTGAAGCTGCAGCCTCAGGCATCCTTGCAGCAAGGTTTGGAAACTTTTACACCCCACTCTTAAGAAGAAAAGGCTACCAATTACTCTGACTGCTCTCTCTCTCTCTCTCTCTCTCACACACACACACACACACACACACACACATTGCCTGCTTTGAAACCACCTAGAAGTTTCTTTTTGTCTGGGGCGGGGAAGAGGCAGGACAAGACATAGCGGCCCCCTGCACAAGTTGAGAGAAGACTCCCTTAAGAAGTTCTCCAACCACTGGCCTCTCCCTTGTACTATCATTTATCCTGCTCTCACATCTTCTCACTCACTGCTGCTCAGCAGTTTGCATTTCAATAGCAGACCAGATACATAAGTGACACCAGGCAAATGATCACACCATTTCCTTCCCTGCCACGAATGAAGCGGTTCCAAAACTTTTCACTATTGCACCCCTTTTGTGATTTTTCAGGAACCCCCTCCTACTTCCTCCTCTCTCTGTTTTATCATCACCCGACACAGTTCTAGCAAAAAAAAAAATCAATTCATAATTTAAAATTAAAATTAAGTATAAAACTTAACAAGCTGTTTTAAATTAAGAACAGTAACAGATTGCTCTTCTTGATGAGAATGGTTAAAAGAAATGGAATACACCTTTTAGAACATGAATAAAAATGAAATCTATCTTAGACAGCAATAGAAACAAAACAAATTTAAAGCAAAAGTGAGCTGCTTATATACTGCCCCACAGTGTTTAAAGTACTCACTGGGCAGCTTGCAATTTAATTATGTAGGCTACACATTACATCCCCAGCAAGCTGGGCACTCAGTTTACTGACTTCAGAAGGATAGAAGGTTGAGTGAACCTCGAGCTGGCTACTGGGATTGAACCCCAGGTCATGAGCAGAGTTCTGGCTGCAGTAGTGCAGTTTAACCACTGTGTCATGTAGCTCAGTAATGTAAAGGATGATCTCTCAGCGTCACACATCCCTTTCAATTTTGTCTTTCACACACATTCAAAGTTGGGACCCAATGCCCTTAATAGGGAATAACTGCTATTCTTTACCTCAACAGGTACAAATCCAGCATCTGTGCCCCGGGGACGCTTCCCTCGTGCAGATCCCAGGTCATGGCCGCGCAGTGACGGAAGTCCCCGTGGATCTACCAAGGGAACGGGTTCCACGTCTGGCATACTTGGACCAATCACTGGTTCTTCGGGGCCAGATGGCTCTTTCTCCTCTACAACTGGTGGTGGGGGCTCCCTGTGCTCCTCCTGCACAAGCGATGGGGAGGTGGGGATGGGGGAGAAGCAAGAACACATAACATGGAAATTCATGGAAAGCATTTTGCAGAGCCCCCCTGCCCCCCCCAGGAAAGACTGCCCAGGCACAGAGTTCCATATGGGCCCACACCCCAGGGTTGCAGTTGAGGCTGCAAAACTATTCACCGTGTGGACATGGGTGCAAATGAAATGCACTGGCATATTCACTGACCTCTTGCTTCTTCACCGGCGGAGCAGAATATACTGTTGGGGCTGCCTGGATGACTGTCGGGTTCACCTTTGGAGGGGCCACCACAGGTCGAGGGACAGGCACCAGGGGAGCCAACGGGCCAACGGGAATCCCTGGCCCAACCTAATGGAAAAGAAGGAAATTAATTTTTTTATTTATTTATTTGATTTATACCCCGCCTATCTGGTCCGAAAGGACCACTCTAGGCGGCTACTCTAGGAAAGCTACATTCGTTTCACCTGACCTCGCTGAAGCTCCATCGCGCACCCAAACATACCCAATGGAACAGTTCATAAAGCAATGGATGAATGGTGCCAACCCATGATCAGTCCCTTTGGTTTATAATGTGAAAGAATAGTTCTTCCACAGACAGAGCCAGCTACCTCTGAGGAAGGTTAACAAAGGAACAGCTGGAGCCAAAAACATCTGGTCCTTTCAAGTGTGGTCTTGCACTCCGATTTCCCTCTACATCTTCAAATTGATCCCCTTTGTCTGAGACCCTACAGGATTAACCCATCCTTGAAGGACAAACAATTCACAGGTGCCCCAATCATCAATACAGACCTTATGTCTAGACTGTGAACATACAACTACAACAATTAAAGGAGGAGAGAACAGGGTAGAGTGGGGAAACCCTCCTGTAAATGAGCAGACTCTGGCAAGACAGAGAAATGACATGGGGAGAGGGAGAGAGAGAGAGATACAGAGATTGACAGAGAGGTTCTCTCCAATTATTAGCACGTGACTCCTGAATTCCCAGGGAATTCTCAGAGAAAAATACTGCCCACCTTTAAAAGTGTGACACTTCAGAGCACAGGTGCTAGTGCTTTCTCCAGAACTATTTATACTGGTAATATAGCAGAGATAATTGAAGCTATGAACAGTAGGTCTCAAACAAAATGCCAAGAGGACTATGTAGCCTTTGCTGCGGTGAAGCATATCCTTAGAAACTCCAGAAGCAACTGCCAATCAAAAGCAGCCAATGCTATTTGAGACTGCATTAACAGAAGTACAGTCTCTAGATCCTGTGAAGTACTCATTCTCCTCTATTTGGCTCTAGTTAGGCCTCAACTTGAGTCTTGTGGCCAGTTGTGGAGCCCACACTTTAAGAAGGATGCCAGCAAACTGGAACGAGTTCAGAAGAGGGCAGCGAAGATGATCAGCCCTGCGAGGAATGAACTGGGTATGTTTAGCCTTGAGAAAAGACTAAAGGGGAAGGGGGAGAGAGGATAACACTTTCTAAATACTTATCATATGGAGGGGGGGGCAGGATTTGCTCTCTATCGTCCCAGAGTGTAGGACATATAATAATGGACTATGTTACAAGAGGACAGATTTTGGTTAAATATCAGGAAAAAAACTTCCTAAGCCTTACCCTGGGAGGTATTGAGTGCTCCAACGCTGGAGCCTTACCTTGGGAGGTATTGAGTGCTCCAACGCTGGAGGCATTCAAGAGAAAGCTAGACAGCCACCTGTCAGATTGGCTTTGGTTTGGATTCCTCCATGGAGCAAGGGGGTTGGACTCAATGGCCTTATAAGGCCCCTTCCAACTCTATTATTCTATGATTCCTCAGAGTTATGCTCTATTAGGCTTTCCAGTATCAACAACAATTAGAGAAAGTGACTGAAGAATCTGTTTCACAGCAGCACCTCTTTTCCAGCTGGTCTATGTTCAGGGTAGGCAACAAATATTCTCATGGAACTGCAAACACATCAGACCCTGGAGGGCCACCATGCCCGAACAAGCTCAAACATATTCTTCTCTCTCTCTCTCTCTCTCTCTCTCTCTCTGTACTTTGCACAGAGTAGGATACAGCCTCCGTTAAGCAGAAAGGGGAAGCCCAACGGGTATGACAATGGTGATCTTGGGTTACCCTGCTTCTGAACAAGATCAAACGTATTCTTCTCTCTCTCTCTCTGTACTTTGCACACAGTAGGATACAGCCTCCGTTAAGGAGAAAGGGGAAGCCCAACAGGCATGACAATGGTGATCTTGGGTTACCCTGCTTTGTCCCCCAAGGCAAGAAAGGAAGCCACACTCACCGGAGGACCAGGTCTCATGGGGCCTATGCCTCCCAGGGGTGGGCCAGGTGCTCTCTGCATGGGTGGCCCCATAAGCATCGGTGGGCCTTGGGGACCTGGCATGGGGGGCCCCACCATGGCCTGGTGATGAGGAGGACGCATCGACAAAGGGCGAGGACCACCTAGAAAATGAACAATAATAATCAGAATTAGGAGACAACATTATCCAGCGACTGGTAACAGCAGCCAATAAAATATATCTGGAAATATAGGAGGAACATGTGCATGTTTTAATTAATCTTGCTCTTGGCTGGGTAGCTTAGGAAGGGTTTTGATTTAAAAGCAGTACGTCAGTAGACTGCCACACATGCTCCTGCTCACAATCATTTGAAAATAAACAGGCAGGAATACTTGATTCTCCCATACACTCTGTTAAAGTCCCACAAAGTCCCTTCTCACAACCTCATTAAGCCAAGCGCAACCTGAGAAACAGGGAAAACCTCACACATCTTTCTCTACTTCTGTGCTGGTGCATGAAGACTACAGGTCAGTCTGGATACCATACCAAACAACCAGTTGCGCTTGAGGAAGCATTTCACAAAATTATAATTATGCTTATAAATACTTAAGGAAGCGCCTCTGTCTGTCTGTCGGAAAAATGCCTTTCTTCTTAAGAAAGACTCAAGGGGCTTACATTATTAAAAGGCAGTAAGTATACAAATAGTGAAAAGGATCAAACAAATGCCACAACAAAACACAGTAAACAAAAGCAATGCCAGGAACACACTGAAAGCAGTAAGGTGAAAACCCCACTCAGTAGCCAATCATTAAAGCTTACTTGAAGAGAAAGATCATTGCCTGCTTGTGGAAGGACAGCAAAGGTGGGGCCAAACTGGCCTCCAGTGGGAGGGAGTTCCAAAGTCTGGGAGCAGCCACAGAGAAGGCCCTCTCGTGTGTCTCCACCAAATGCATCTGGATTTAGTGCAAGCCTTGAATGGACATTGTGGACCCAGAAGCCATGACTGAAAGTAAGAGTGCCAAGCTACGGCTTAATGCCAGCGATGATGTGCATGCTTCTGTGGAGGTTTATGAACTGACAAACATACTTCTGGTTGTTTCTCCTTACCTAAATACCGTAACACTTTGGTTAGGAGGTAGAAGTCCAGCATTTTACAACTGACACTTTCTTATGACAAAGGAGGTTATGAACTACATATGCACATGCACACACCCCAGAAGGCACACAGGCAACAGTAGGCTTTGGATGGGAGTGTGACCAAGAAGAGATCATACACATCCTTGAATACGTTGCCTTGAAATTGGTTTTAAGCCTGAACTACCTGTGTTTCAAGTCAGAGCTCTGCCTCTAGATTCACCCTTCATTCTACTCCCATGCATTCAAGTGACTTGCCATACAACCACTCTGATTTCCACTCCCCAATGTTATCAGGTCTTTGATTACAACTCCCTCTGGGCTCCTGGAAGAATTCCCTGTTGTTGAAGTTAAGATTCTCCATTACATGTTTTCAGAGACCAGAAAGACTTATTAATTTCTGAAGGGTGCAAAATCCAATGTGGTCAGCAACTGCACAGAGCTCTATTTTTCTGGCTAAAGCATTTTGTGCCTGACACACCTTGTCTAAGTTCTGTTTAATAATAACTTTGTTGTGTTATACTGCATTCACAGACCACATTGGCCTATGGAATGCTCTCTCTGTGCACTCCATGTGTATAAACACAAATGTATGTGTTCAGCAATAACAAATGAACCACACGTTCCTTTACTGGTAGCAAGGCAAATAGCTCAAAAACCAGAGAAAGAATGTTAGCCAGCTCCTTCCCTAACAAAAATCTCCCAAGATGCTATGGTCTACAATGTGCAGGAGCCCCAAACAGCATGGCTAAAGGTCAGGGATGACGAGAATCCACAGCAACAAGTAGCCACCTTTTATTGAAACAGGCTAATAATGACTTCTGGTTCTCCAAAGTCTTTAAGCAAAAACTAGCTGGTTACTTAAAACTCTTCTTTTAAACAAGAGATATATCAGGGACAGAACCAGGAAACTAACCAGTAGCCTGAGGTTTGCAAAGCAGGTTTCCCCCCATCACTTCTGACTCCATCTCTTAGTGTTACAACCACCAGATACCTCTAAGACAAAGTAAAAAACACCACACCAGCTCCCTGCAGTACAACAGGCACAAACAAAAGGGGAGAAGAGAGCTTACCGGATCTCTGTAGGACGTGAGGCACAAAGGTGGGTCGGAGGATGGGAGGTCGCTGTGGAGGGACAGCTGCAGAGAACAAAACTGGGTTGAAACCTCACTGAAATGCCTTCCAAAAACACTACTGATAAGAGTGGTCATGCAATTAAACCTACAAGTCTCTAGCTTTCTATCTATTTATCTAATTTTTATACCGCTCATCTAGCTGAGGTCACTGTGAGCGGTTTACAGCATATAAATACCACCAAGTACCATTTAACATAACAAAAAATAGAAATAATAAAAGACAAATAAGCAATAAACTCAAAACATACAAATACATCAAAATGAAAGATTTTAAAACATTCAAAGCAATTAAAACATTTAAAATGTTTAAGATAGTGGTCATTGGACAAACAGGCTAATTAGCTGAGCTTGCAAGTATGATGTTTTTGAATGCCTGCCTAAATAGTCAGGTTCTTACTGACTTCTTAAATATTGGCAGCAAAGGGGCCAAGCGATTTGCAGGAACTAATTCATTCCATTCCCCAGCTGAGGAGCAACCACTGAGAAGGTCCGGTTTCTCGTCTTCTCACTCTGGATCTTCTCTCTCTCCCGGGGTTAGCATCCTCAGCCAGCCTGCTTGGGATTTTCTTGTAGGATGGGCAGATCTTGTTGGAATCAGGCGTTCTGCAAGCTGGCGAGATCCCAAACTGGTTAGGACCTTATTAAGTTAAAACTATCACCCTGAAGCTGGCATGAACATGGGCAGGTAACCAATGTAAGATGGCAAGAACTGAAGTGATGTATTGAAATTTATTCACTCCACTCAATAGTCTGGCCGTTGTGCCCTGGACTTGTTGAAGTTTCTGTGAGAGCCTCATAGGTAGCCCCATGTAGAGAGCACTGCAGTAGTCTAATCTTGAGACTAACACTGCCAACATGGTGAAGGACCCAAGACAAAGTTTGATAGCTCTGGAAGGGAGAGTGCTATTTTGTGAGGAGCACGATAAACCAGCAGAATCCCAAGTTCATCCCTTGCCCCCAAAGACAACTTGCCTCCAAGTTGGAATCGCCAGAGTAGAGAGCCTGAGAACACTTAAGGTGTTTTTATAAAAAATGACTACTCCCCCCCACACACACAATCCCTCCGGTTTCTCCTGATATTAAATGGAATAACCAGGTGGGCATATTAAGGACAGGGCCATGCGTCGACTCAGTGCCCAGGTTTCAGTGATACAAGCCAGATCTGCCCTTTCATCCAGGATTTGATCTTACTTTATTCTGAGCAAATCTGGCATTTAGCATCATCAGAGAGAGTGTGGAAGGCAGGCTCAGTAGGTTACTTCGTACCTGAGAGGTAGCAAGAGAGCTAGAATGAGTAATCAATAAAAAACCACAAACATGTGGCTTGACCAGTTGTCTTAAGAGTTCAGACACAAAGTCAAAAAGATGCTGGCTGTACCTGGGCCTACAAATGGAACTGGAGGAGCCACAATAGGGGTCACTACAGTGGCTGCTGCAGCTGCTCGGGCTTCCAGACTCTGCTGAACCTGTTGGGGAAGAATAAAAAATAAGTATGAGTGTTAGCCAGGGAAGATGAGCAATTAAGTGCAGAAATATAGCCTTCTTCCACATGTCTGGTTCGCTGCTGCCTCTTAAAAAGAGAAGAGCAGTGCTGCTGAATAAAAGCAAAGGCTTATATATATATTTTTGAATCCTGCTTTGTTGTAGCCAACCATATGCTGCAGCAAAACCAGTCAACAGGGCATAACAGCGATCGTACCCCACTGCTTCTGCATACTAACAACTGGAATCCAGGGGCATGCACACCCTAAAGACACAACATCACAATGACTGGTTGCCGTTGATCCCTGGAATCCATCCAATTTCTAAGCCTAAACCAATTATTTCCTTTGTCAACAAAGTAGAAAAAGAGAGGGAAGTATTAATACAGCTTGAAAATCTTCAGTCCATATAAACTGGGTCTCTAGTCCTAATGTATCAGCTCCTGTAGATGTGCTAAATTTCAGTGATTCTTCTGAAAAGAAATCGTATCTTTCCAGCATGTATGCTGGATGTGGCAGACTCACCTGCTGGTAGGTGTTAGTAGCTATGATAGGTCGGATAACAGGAACCGGGGGCACTGCCGATACAGCTGGCACCGCCAGGGCAACAGGAACAGCTTCCACCACAGGGGCAACTGGAGGCAACGAGACTGGAGCTCCCAGCACCTCCTGCTCAAACCTGTAAATGACATACAGTCCTCACATACTCAGTCCATGACGACAATCATTATCTCTCAAGCAAACAGACCACGTCACAAGAACTGTTGTAGAGACTGAGGAGGAGGATATGTACACCATTCTGAACTCCACAGAGAAGATTTAAAACAAACAAACAAATCAATGAAATACTGTGAACTAGAAGTAGCTACCATAAGAAATTATGGATGAGGAAAAACTGAGAAGCACAAAGTTCAGATTAAATATAATTAGCATGTAAAAGATAGAGAGATGCAATTGATTTGTGGGAGGAAAAGAGAATGCACTTAAGAATATGATGCCATGGCAGATGTACAACTTAAACAAGTATGTAATACACCACTGGCATAAAAACTTCCACAACAGTGAGCAAAAGGGTGAATATTCTGCTACACAGCTGACAAAGTTCCAAGGCCAAGTTTCCAGGGACCAACCACCCCCCCTTCTTGTTCTTAGTCTCAAAATGTTATCAACATCCAGGGATGACAAACTTGTAGCCCACTGGATGAATGCTGGACTGCAACCCATTGTAGTAGTAGTCTTCGTCATCATCATGTGCCTCAAGTAAATTCTGAGTTATAGCAACCCTTCCTGGGGTTTTCCAGGTAGAGAATACATGGAAGTTGCCGTTCTCTTCTTCTAGGGTTGCCCTGGGACTGCCCGGCTTCCCCCAAGGCTACACAGCGTGGATCTACCCACTGGAAGCACACAGTGGCCATCGAATCCCCAACCTCTAGCTCTGCACCCAGCTACCTAAACCGCTCAGCCCTCCAGCCAGCTAATAGGAATCAAGTGCTGTCAAGTCAATTCTGACTTGTGGTGACCCTTTTCAGGATTTTCCAAGAAAGCAATATTCAAAAATAGTTTACCATTCCCTTTCTCGGGGGCGGGGCGGTGCCCTGGGACTGTGCAGCCAGGCTGACTCCTCTCCAGGAGTCCCAGGTGGGAGTCGAACTTCCAACCTTTGGCTCCCTAACCGGCTATCCAACTGACAGTGCTTTCACGGCCACCCATCATCATCCCCTTCGCATTGAGGGATGACTAGAGCCACGCAATCTGCGGGCCATATCCTCTCTTCCCCGCTTTTCGCGCCTCCTCCTCCTCCTCCGGCCGCCGCCGCCCCCCCTGGCCCCGGGGCTCCCCCAGGAACGCCCGGGGGGGCTCCCGGCGGCGGGGGAATCGCAGGAGCCGCCATGGCTCAAGCTCTGGGGCCGCAAAACCGCTTCCCGGAGAAGCACCGACGCTCCAATCCGCCCTCCTTCCGGCGCCCGCTTATGACATCATCCGGACGTCCGGCCCTCAGGGCGCTTTTCTGTGGTATAGAGGTATGAAAATAGAGACAGACCCGAAGAACTCTCAAAGAGAGAAGAGAGCCACGGACTGAGAAAACGTCTGCTATTGGAACCTTACACGGGATTATTTATATTTGCATGTTGCCTTTTTAGTGCACATTTTTTACATGTTGTCCATCACCAAAAACCAAGTTCAAGTTTAGCCCAGAAGTGCCCGTGCATGCTATGAAGTGACTCTTCATTTATGTAACTCTATGGTGACTTCACACTCCTCCAGGAGAAAGCTTGGTTTGAGACTTTGCAGAGAAAGGGCGGAGCAGAAACCAAACGAAACGTTTTTTTTAAAATTAAAGACAAAAACGTTGTGGCACCTTAAAGACTAACTGCTATATTTTACTGTGCGCTTTCATGGACCAGTCCCCTTCCTCAGACATAAAAGTGTGTCTAAATAGCAAATATTTATACATGGCTCCCTAAATCAAGGACTGATTTGAGCACAAGGTGTTGATAGTGCAGTATTTCACACCGAGCGATGGCCTTTCAGAGCCCGGTTGATATTCAGTTCCCCTCTTAGGAAGCATTGCTCTGTAGACAATGACAAGGATTGGTGACTAAATTAATCTCGGGCTATAGGTAATGAGAAGGACCAAGCTGGCAATAAGTGTCTATAACCGGGCTTTTGAGTTGGCATTGGTAGATATTAAGAAAATATAGCCAGGAATTTCAGCATATGTAGCACGATATTTTGCATTTTATAACAAACCTAAGAAACCTTGGCTGATATTGAGTCCATTCAGATGGGTTTTAAACATGTATGTATATTTATCTCAGCTGTCTCTCTGAAGCCTTCTTTATTTTTTCTTCTCCAGAATGGCAATGTACGTCTTGTGCAGCATCCAGGCAAACTAAAATCATTTGAAATGGCTTTCTATGTATTGCCATTCCTGATATCCAGTTTGGGTCCATTAATTCTTTTGCACAGAGACTGTTTGGCTTGTCCTATGTAGAGTGCAGATGGGCACTGTTGGCAAAAAATGGCATAGATTGCATTGGCAGAGGAACAGGCAATAGTGCCCTTGATGTGGTGTGTTACATTGTTAAGTCTGGTAACCATATTGCCAGAATAAATGTACAGTAGAGGCAGAATTGACATCTGGGTTTGTAGCAGAGTTTAGTCCCCATCTCTGTGGCAGTAGCTGCTTAGAATGGAGGAGTGTCTGTAAGCAAGTCGAGATCTGCCACATATGGCTTGGGAGAATGAAGTATTCTTGTCAAGAATGGGTTGGAGATCACTTATGGCGCATGTGGTCTTGTGAGCTGAACATGACCGCTAGCAGGGTTTGATCATAAGATTAAGGGGTTGGTCTTCTTTGAAGGTGCGGAGCCTGATTTAGAAAGTAGTGTGGATTTTTTTAACATGTGGCATAAATAACTGAAATAAACTCCACTGTAATTCCATACATGCACATATTTGTAGTAAACCCTACTGTGGTCAGGCCTATCTTCTGAGTTATCACAGATAGGTTTGTACTGGAATTATTCCTAACTAACTAGCTGCAGCCAGTGTTCATTTTAAAGTAAGCTTCATGGTGGTGCTGTGGGCTAAACCGCAGAAGCCTGTGCTGCAGGGTCAGAAGACCAGCAGTCGTAAGATCGAATCCATGTGACGGAGTGAGCGCCCGTTGCTTGTCCCAGCTCCCGCCAACCTAGTGGTTCGAAAGCATGCAAATGCAAGTAGATAAATAGGGACCACCTCGGCGGGAAGGTAATAGCGTTCCGTGTCTAAGTCGCATTGGCCATGTGATCACAGAATATTTAATTTACTCAAAGGGAGAACTCACCAAGTTCAATGGGATTCATTTCCTAGCAAGAGAACACAGGATGCTCTGTCATCACTGAAATTCATTAAAGTCATTCCTTCCCACTTCCCCATTCTACTGACATCCACACAACTGCCCATTAACAAATGCCTATTATAGCTCAGTGGTCTAGTTATGGTTGGGAGTTCAATTCCCCAGTGCCTCCTACCAGTACAGCCAGTTCACGTGACCTTAGGCAAGCTGCGCAGTCTCAGGACACCCCCAGAAAAAGGGAACAGTAAATGACTTGTGAATATTATCTACCTGAAAAATCCTGAAAAGGGTCACTTTAAGTCATGATTATTACAGTAAAATAAAACGTTTCACTATTTTTTGCAGTTGATGTTGCCTTCACAAACTCACAGAGCCACCTGCAGCTTTGTTTTTTGAAAATGCTCATTTTCATAATTGTTAGGTTTTCCAGTGGTTCTTAACCTTGGTTACTCAGGTGTTTTTGAATTGCAACTCCCAGAAACCCCTGCCAGCACAGCTGGCGGGGAAGGCTTCTGGGAGTTGCAGTCCAAAAACACCTGAGTAACCCAAGGTTAAGAACCACTGTTATAGACACACAATTCTTTGAAACAAATTGTTTCAATTACATTTGAGAGGGATAGATGCTCTTATTGGCACATGAGTTGGTGTTTAAAATGCAGCCAAGGCAATGGGTTGGTTTTATATAGGAACAATCTTAAAGTACATCCATACTTCCTTCCCACCTTTGTATACAGATCTCTTTAAAAATGTCTTTCCTCAAATGGACTAGTTTGATATAATCAATTAGAAGTTATATTTTCAAAGCTATGAATCAGTAGAAACCTCATTGAAAGATGTGAAGAAGGAAGCTTGTGGATTATCGTGTATTTATTCAGAGGGAAGATCCACGGAATGTAATAGGCAGTGCTTCTTAAGCATACGTAAGATTTGTATCAGCACTATCTGAAGCAAATTCTTCCCTTTTGTGTTTACAGCTACCTTAAGGATTTGCAGTACAGCAGGATCCTCTTATCTCCCGGATCAGTATCTGATTCTTTTATCTGTTGCCTCTAAATACTAAATAAAAAACCACAGAAATAAATACTTATACATAATCCCAGAGTGTATTTACCAGACTGTGCAATGTACAGCATTTGATACTTCCATGTTTTTCAATATCCACAGAGGGTACGCTTGGAACTGATCCCTCGTGGATGCCACAGTCCTACTGTAAATAGCAAGTGGCAATTCATAGCTGATCCTTTTAAAACTTTGATGAAGGTTTTACCTGGATCCCCAGTTAGAAAGTAGTTCATGGCCTTTATTATTGGTTCAAAGGTCCACTAAGAATGTATTCAAACAGTCCTCACAAATCTCCTTTGCCTTTCATGAGCCAGCTGTAAGAATTAACCCCGACAGAATCAGCTCTGCTTTAAGTAACTAGAAAGGTTCTCAGCTAAGGGTATTCCAAGATTGCTTATTCAACAGAAGGAAGGGAAAGCTTAGTTCAGAGGCAATAGAGGGGTGAGGGCATGGTGGAAAAAGTATAAAGACCGATACAAAAGCGGGTTCAGGGCTATCTCAACTTTTGGGAGCACTGCCACAGAGAAAAAGAATCAAAGATTCATAGCACATTAGCTGATCCCAACACAACACAGACATGGATTTTATGCCTTTAATTAGAACTTGAAACATTCAAGACTCTGTACTGTTAAAGGATGTCCGGTGCTCAAGTGGACAACCAGTGAAAAAAACAGATACTTCAGACGATCCTTCAGTCACCACATGGGAGGACGGAATTTGCAGTCACACGGCAATCAGATATTACCTGGAAAGCAGTTGTTTTCCCTCTGTTCATCCCATTGATCAACCTGCAAAAGGCAAACCAGTTTCTAGTGTCATCAGTTCTATCTTCTGATGGTTGATCAGGGACAATATTGTACCAAAGTGGCTAGGACTGAAGATTTTCTGTGCACAACCTTTTGCAACTTCCATTTAAAATTTTGTTTTGGGTTTTTTTTGCAGCATCCATTAAAAATGATAAAATGACATGCCTACCCTGTTCATCAGTTCTGACTATTTGTTTTATTCTTTAACTATAAACAACCTTTCTCATGTGCAGACAGGAAACTACATACATATAACAAGGTTCTACTGCCTGCAAACTGGCACTTCAGTTCCAATTTCTGAGCATATCTAGGCTGCTTTTTGGACCATAAAAATTAATAGGTTACAGAGAAATATTAAAAAATTAATAGGTTATGGTAACTTTTTTCTATTGCTCTTTCCTTACCAATTACCTGTCTTGCATCCTTTGCCCCAATTGATTCAATGTAGAGGGGGAAAAAACAGGCTCTCAATATCCTACACAACCAACCAAACTACCCTCTGTGCACTTTCCCCACCATCTTAATCATTTTTGCTACTGTGGCTACACTCAAGCCGCCAGGGAGCACCCAAATTTCCATTCTCTTGAAGACAGCATGAGAATATCAGTGGCTGGAAGTAGCATGAACCGTGGCAGGAGCCGCAATGCCAGTTTTATATCAGAAAGGTCCTTCAGAATTTCCAATACTTCAGAACATCTGGAACAGTCAAAAATAAATGTTACGTCCATTCTGAAGGAACTGTGGTACTGGAAGGGACACGTCTTTACACCTATTCAATAATTAAGTGCGGGACAAGCTGTTCTCAATAATGCTTAAAATGTAATGAAAACTTGTTATCAGAAGAGGTGTAATAGTCTTTGTATACTGCTGTTTTATTACGCCTATGCTATTCCATAACTGTTGTAAACTTCAAGAAAGCAAAATATAGTATCTTGGGATGACTGGAACACAGCACCTCCCATTCAACTGAATATGACAAATATATGTAGAACCTTGAAATGTGCCAAACATCACTAATTAATTCAATTCTTTTGCTGTTAAATCCATCTCTCACACACACATAAGCCTCTGAACACACCTTAGTTTCATATACCTACCCAGGATGTAGGACATAAGGATTGGTAGACCCTTTTATACCACTGGCAGACATAAGTATCTTTTCCCCTGGCAGTCAAGGATTTCTCACAGCGATGGAAATCTATGGAGAGATAATCATATCAAAGTTGTGAGAACACAGGTTGGGGTCCACATGGACTGAAATCATCTATTCTATAGAACCCCCAACAGTCTGCAAAGTCAATATTTTCCCTACATATAACACAGAAGGCAGCATCCCTTATTATTGAAAACAATGAACTGTGTATTAAGTCCTTCATCTTTGTTCCACAATACATAATAAGAGAATTGTACGATGCAGGGCAGCATTCTATGTTTTCCCTTTTCCTACGTTATTGGCTCTCGCTGAGGAAGGGGCCGGAGACTCAATATAACTTTACAGTGGTGCCTCGCTTAACGGGCGCCCCGTTTAACGACGAAACCGCGTAACGATGAAGATTTTGCAATCGCAAAAGCGATCGCATTGCGATGTTTTAAATGGGAAAAAATTGCTTTGCGATGATCGGTTCGCTGTTTCGCTTACCGATTATCGCATCGCAATGATTTTCCAACAGCTGATCGGCGGTTCCAAAATGGCCACCGGGTAAAAAAAAAAAAAAGGCCGCCCGCTGTGTTTTTGTGCCGATTCCTCGCTTACCGGGCAGCGAAAATGGCCGCCGTATGGAGGATTTTCACTTAAAGGTGAGTTTTAAGCCCATAGGAACGCATCAAACGGGTTTTAATGCATTCATATGGACTTTTTATTTTCGCATAGCGACGAAATCGCTTTGCAGCGATTTTTGCTGCACGGATTATTGTCGTTATGCGGGGCACCACTGTACATGTGTTTCTAATACAGTAAAACTGAGAAGAGAAAGGAGATATGGGGCTACCATTTTCAGTGTTAGTTTTGTGTCCTCATACCACCTAGTTTTCATCCACAAATGTGAAAACTCTTCTTCCCACCCTAACGTAAGATTTCTTCCCTTGATTACAGAAAGAGAAAAGCAAAGGTGATCACCAATTAGAATAGGAATTCTCACTCAAATTTTCTTCCTTCACATGATTCCCTCTTTCAAAAATAAGGTAATTAAGATATCTATTTTTAGCATTATACCTGTTAGGAAACAGGTTATAGTGATTCTAATACAGTAGGGCTTTCAAGCTATGTGATACATTTAAGGAGTGGCTTTATCAGCTCCACACCTCCAGTGATTTTCCATGGCTGGGTGGGGATTGAACCCAGACCTTCAGAACCCTAGTCCGTCGCTAAATCAAATACACCACATTGAGTAACTTCATCTAAATAGCTCAGAAAAACACACATGCTTCTCCCCTGATCTTCACAATGATCATGTAAAGTAGCTGGACTGAAAAATTGTGCTTGGCTCAGTAAAGTTTGTGGATGGACAGCATTTGAAACAAAGCCTTCCTTGTTGTTGTTGTTTAGTCATTAAGTCGTGTCCGAACTCTTCATGACCCCATGGACCAGAGCATGCCAGGCCCTCCTGTCTTCCACTGCCTCCCGGAGTTTGGTCAAATTCATCTGGGTCGCTTTGATGACACTGTCCAGCCATCTCGTCCTCTGTCGTCCCCTTCTCCTCTTGCCTTCACACTTTCCCAACATCAGGGTCTTTTCCAGGGAGTCTTCTCTTCTCATGAGATGGCCAAAGCATTGGAGTCTCAGCTTCAGGATCTGTCCTTCCTACCTTCCACAAATCTAAGGCCAGCACACTGTCTACTCAACCACACTGGCTCTCTAAGCCTACAGTGATTGTGTCTGATCACACCTACCACTTCCAGGGTGCATAATGGTTTAGGCGAGACTTTATAGCTTGTCTTTCTTGTCAACTTACAGTAGGAGCACCAGCTGGCACTGTGAAGACAGTGGCTGCCTCTTCATTAAAGCCTTTGCAGCAAAGCCACACCTGAGGCTAGCCCAAGCCAGGCCACTCCTGTTTGTCTCCTTACCAAAGGCAGAGGGCCAGTGTGTGTATGCGTGAATCCTTGTTTCCCTATTTCTGTGTATTTATGTGCATGAGGAAGATGGATGGATGAATACCCACTTTTATCTCTGACTTCCCACCTCTGGTTGCTGTGTTTTCAATCCCAGCAACCACACTGGTCATCAGCTGCCACAACTTGAAGACAACTTATGGGGACCTAGGCTTTGAAAATATATGCCCTAATAAAATATGTTGGTCTTTAAGGAGTTCTAAAACATTCTGTCATTTGCATGTTAACAGGCAAACATGATTACACTTCCCCCTTCAACAATGAGGGCATTGGGGACAGCAGATCCCTGTGCAGTTAATCCATGTATAACTCTTATGCCCCCCCAAATGTAACTACAACACATAAGTAGTTGATCAACACGCCCGGAAACAGAACAGTTCTCTCTACAGGCGTTTTCTTCCCTAGCATTGACAATTCTTTCCATACAGTACTGTGTATAATAAGCCTTAAAGGTTGTCATGACTCACCGATCGAGACGCTGAATTAGAGATGATGTGTTTGGGAGTGAGTAGACCACTTTGATGGCTTCAGTGTTGAACTCATGGGGCACAATATTTATTGAATACTTATATACCACTTATTCATGCATTTATTTTGCATTTATTTTGTGAAAAAAGGAAATAATCAAAACTGTGCTGTTCAGACCCAGGCAATTCAAGGGAGACATGTCCAGTCTGCCCTTCTGTTGTATTTTCCTACTGTACACACTTATCAATGGTTTTTGTTTTATTTGCAGAATCTAGACGCCTCCTAGCCACAACGTTTAAGCAGGTTTTTATTATTCAATATGGATCCTGCATACATCCCAAAATGCAATGTCTTAGATGTTTAAACTTGTTAGCAGAGGATACAAAAGAGCTATTTTTCAAATATTTCCTATTTTGTGACAACGGAAGACTTCAGAACATGAGCACTTTACTGTCAGATCCCTAATGTGAAGGTGCAATTATTCACACACATCAGCTGTACTAACCAAGATAGTTCTGATAGCAGTTCTTAGCCTGGCTTTGATTGGGGAACCTCGCATCGAATGGAGCTGTTGTGTACTCCGCCAGCTTTTTTCTCATTGCTTCAACTTCAGACATGATTCTCTTATCTGAAAGTAGAAAGGAAACCAGCAACATAAAAACATTCTGGGAGCTTCACAATATTAAACCACAAAGTTCATGATTGGTTGTTTTTTGATAAGTCAAGTTGCTTTTATTGATTGTATCCTGCTTTGAGATCCACTTGGAACTATTATAACACATCCAAATAGATTGTGTGAAGATATCATGTTTCCTAGTGATATTATTACCCTCAATCAGCACTCCAAGAAGGGGAAGACAGCTCTCTCTCTCTCTCATGTACACATGACTAGCCAAGGCAATAAAAAGGTAGATTAACACAATGTGATTTGCAGCTGAAAAAGAGTGACATTGAAGGTGGGCAGATGTCTACTTCACATTTTGAAAGATTGGTACAGGCTACAATCTGTTTAAACACATACTGTACATGAAAAAAGCCTTTTTCTGCTAGGGCTTTTTTGTGTGTTTGTGTAAAAGCTATGAGGCTGGGGGACAAAAAACATGTGCAGTACTAATGCCAAATGTTGCCCACCTATTGCATTTATACAGATCTCCACCAAGGGTCAAATAAGCATCAGAGGCTATGGTCTGAGTGGGGGCTTTTCCTACAATTGATACAGGAACTACCCCTGCTAATCCAACAGGGACATTAGGATAACTGAGAAAAATGTGACCTGCAATCTCACAAAACAGATAATGTGCAAAAGAAAGAAAGAAAAGAAGAAGAAAGAAATTCATCTGCTTGAATGGCACAGTGTTCCACATCATCTCCTTTGTATATCATTTCTCTCTTACTTCTTCAAGTATATTTTGCAGGGTGGATAAAAAAAAATCAATAATTTTTTAAAAAATCAAGACTGATTTAAATGACAAGGTAAATTTAAAACTTGATTTTTTAAACATTTAAATCATCAAAAAACCCTAATTTTTAAACTTAAATTGTGAAATAAATCCAATCCACCCTGCATTTTGTCTTTACACTCTCAATGTTACTTGAGAACATTATCACCAGCACCCAACAGAGCAACGCTCCTGTCCTCTGCTGTCTGAGAGTGAAGTCATAGACATGCTTGGTGGGGACACAGGAGAGCGCTTTCTCTGTCACTGCTCCCAGACTTTGGAACTCCCTGCCACAGGAGGCCAGGCTGGCCCCATCTTTGTTTCCACAAGCAAGAGACGACCTTTCTCTTCAGGAGAGCTTTCCCTCAGTGTCTGGTTGCCTGAATGGAATTTTTAAATGGATCGTTATACCTTACTGTTTTTTTAAAAATATTGTTTGCGTTTACTATTTCTCAGAGTGATATTTGTTTCTTTTCAATATTTGTATACTTATTGTTTCTAACTTTAAATATTGTCTTTTAATTATGTAAGCCACCTTTGTGTATTGGTTGTTTTTAGCTTTAAAAAGGTTCTCTTAATGATGTACACCTTGGGTCCTTTTTAAGGAGAATGGTGGGATAAAAATATTTTTTAAAAATAAACACAGAAGAAAGCAGGAACCTCAGCCTACCTATTTCTGGTCTTATGGGTTCCCCAACCCCTGCCTATTTATGAGTCATAATAGCTACTATCCCTAGCAGTTGAATTTCTTCTGCCCATTGCCCTACTTATAAAAATACAACTTCGGTGGCTTTGTCTTTTACCTAAACAGAAATAAAGTTCTTACACCTTTAGCCCTGCCTCTCTGATATTATAGCTGCCATTCTAGGAAGCCTTTACATTTCAAAACAGGCTAAAATAACTTCAAACTAAAACATTAAATTAAAATGATAAATACAATACATTTATATGCAATCTCTCTGCCCCCATAATAGCACAGCCGATAAAGACTTCTCTTCCACACCCCGCTGAGAGGTTTCAAACCAGTTTGAGAGAAGCAGGACAGAAAGAGGAGCTGAGGTAAGGCAGGAGTTGCAAAAATCCAAGAAACTGAAAGGAGACGGTTCCTCTCTAGAGACATTTAAATGCTTCAGTACATTCAGTGTAACTTAAAATAGTAAGGTGGGATTTTTTTCCTCAATTTTTCCACCTAACCTGTCTTTCTCTTTTTGAAAACAGCCTCGCAGGTCTGGAAAGCTTGAACACATTTTTGATTAATATTCCTGTTTTAAGAATTGTTTTAATATAGGATACTTTATATTGTCTTTTTAATGTTTTTATATTGTTGTACGCCGCCCAGAAGCCACTGGTAATGGTGCGGCTAAAAAATATTGTAAATAAATAAATAAATAATCGTAAGAAAAGGCAGGAATTAGTAATTCATATATGATTTAGGAAGTGCAGCCCACACGGCCAGCCCTGCTTGTCTGCATTTAAACCTTGTAAAGGAAAGGGAATCGTAACCTCTAACTCCCCTTCTGTGCCCACCACCCGCACCGGGAGCTCAACGGCCGCCGCCGGGGAAACGGAGCCGGGGAGGGGAGAGGAGATGCCCCGGTTGGGCCTCCTGCCCCCCCGGCCTTCTTGCCCTCTCTCTCACCCCCCCCGGCAAGACGCGCCCCCCCGGCTCATCTCCCCCTCCCCTTCGTGGCCTGTAGCGGCTCCCTTCCTACCTTCCCTCTCTCTCTCTCTCTCCCCCTCCCTGGAACGGCAACGACCGTTAACGGCACTTCCTCAAAGTGACTTTCAACCGGAGGCTGGCCACGGCCGAGACCCAGGAACAAACGAGAGGAGGAGATGGAGCGGCACCGGAAATGCGGCTCCCACGGTTCTGACCTGGGATAAGCCCGAAGCGGAAGATCAGCCGCCACAGATGGCGGGAAGGAAGAGGTCGCCTTGGTGACGCCGGAAGGGGTGGGTGTAGCGGCGTTGACAGGCAGCAGGTTGGCCTATCGATCGAACCCTCGATCCAGAGGCAAGGCCTTGAACGGCCTGAGGGAAGCTCTGACCCTCCCCTCCCCCACCTTTCTGCCCTGAATGGTTGAACTGTTGATAATAAAGATGTTGATAATAAAGATGTGTTGCGTCAGTCGACTAATACCAATTTAAAAACGATCCTCTCCAGTTTTTTTTCTAGGAATAAAGGATTCAGAAGTGGCTTTCCAGCCTCTGGCAGCGTGTGAAGGATGATGCCCCTTGCCCAAGTAGCCGGGCGTGTAACTCCCACCTTAGCCAGCCAAGCCCTTGGTGATCTTTGGGTGGCCCCTTTGTGACATAGCTCAAAGTCACCTCACAATAGTAGCAAATTGATCACTTTATTGGCTCCATAGAGGGGCCAAGGAAGGAGGGTGGGATTAAGTGTATCTAAAATCAGAGAATATGCGCTGCATCACTATAAAGGCCTAAAAAAACGAATGGAAAGCAAATACATGTAATAGGGCAGCACAGACCTTGTCTTTTAGATCTTCAAAATGATGCAGCGCATACTCATTGCCTTTATCCACAATTTTCCCCCAGTTCCTCCTTTCCTCCATGGAGCCAGCTTGGACCTAGTTTGCTGTTGCTTTGCTGTTGGCTTTTCCAACAAGAAACTAGGCCTGACTTGGGCCTGTCCTGGCCCGTGAGCCCTTCCAGCCCAGCCATCCTTCAAGTGAGCACAATTTAGGCGTTTGTCGGACAGCCAGATCTCTCAGAATGGAGAATTTCTGAGATTTAGAGACCAAACAGGAACAAGTGAACAAGTGCAGTCATTAATTTCATTGTGGTGCAGATCCAGAGTCCTGGTCAACAAAATGAACAGGAGAGTATCCAGATTCAACATGGCTGCTTATCCCATTTCAAAATGTGAAATAATTCACAACAGAGCCACTAGCACCATCAAAAGACCAGTAAGTCCTGGGTGTACAATGAGCTAACACTACTAATGTGAAGTACTCTTTGCAACTTTCCGTTCCAAAAGTCTGCAGTTTGCATCACACAATGTATCTTAGAAAGGTTATACTGTATATTTATTTGTGAAAATATTTACTAGTTATATGTTCTTTTTTGTTCTTACTTGGATGGAGGAGAATAATATAAAATTTTGGGGAAAAGATACAGACAAGCAACCCAGCACTGGAGGCTAAAATAGAGAAGATCTCCACAGCCACCATGTATTTCCCTTTGGTGCTCAAGTAGGTTGGGATGAAGGACACCCAGACACTGCAGAACACCAGCATGCTGAAGGTGATGAACTTGGCTTCATTGAACCTGTCGGGCAGCTTCCTGGCCAAGAAAGCCACAGTGAGGCTCACCACAGCCAGCAAGCCCAGGTAGCCCAGAATACAGTAGAAGGCAGCAGTCGAGCCCTTGCTGCACTCAAGGATGATGTGTCCAGGCTCCGAGTGCAAATCTGCATGTAGAAATGGGGGAGAAATTCCCAGCCAGACTGTGCAAATCAGAGCCTGAATGAGAGAACAAGACAACACAAAGACATTTGCCAGCCTGGGTCTCATCCACATGTGTGCCTTGCTGCCTGGCTTGGTGACCTTGAAGGCCAGCACCACCGTGATGGTTTTGGCCAGAACTGTTGCAAGAGAGACAGAGAAAATGACCGCAAAGGCCGACTGGCAAAGAAGGCAGGTGAGCTTCTGTGGTTGACCAATAAAGAGCAAGGAGCAGAGGAAGCAGAGCTTGAGGGAGAAGAGGAGGATGTAGCTGAGATGGCGATTGTTGGCTTTGACTATGGCGGAATCTCTGTGTTTTATAAAGGTTCCCAGCACCAGTGAAGCAAAGAGCAAGAAAGCAATGGCGGTGGAAGCTGCAGCGATCCCCAGGGGTTCAGCATAGGATAAGAAGGTGACGTGTTTGGGGATGCATTGGTTTCTTGCTTCATTTGGATAGCGGTCTTCTTCACATGCCACACAGTGGTCCATATCTAAAATGAACAAATTAGATCTCATTTGTATCAGTCTGCCTTTATACATTTTCCTTGGCGGTTACCTTCATATTACATCACATGCCTATGGAAAGGACAATTCAAGGTCATTTTGATGTGGAAAGTGGGGGCATGTACTGTATCTCTGTAGCCACGCTTACCTGTTTGGTTGGATATTTCTCCTTTAGGGCATTCAATGCACTGGAAGCAACATCTGGGGTTCTTTTTCAAGGGGACCTTCTGGAATCCGGGTGGGCAGGTTTGGCTGCACACTGAATGAGGTGGCTGTGAGGATGCAGAGAGACAAATTTTAAGTCAAATGGAGAGAAGATCTGGTTTTTGTCTGAAGGCAAAACTCCTAGACATCTGTCTGTGTATGCAGTTCATTGGATTCCCTTAGTGCTCTCAATAAGTTGAAAACTCAAAGTTATCATTTGGTGGAAATCAATACGTACATGCTAAGGGGTCAGTAGAGAAATGCCAAAAACCAATAATGCCTAGGATAGCTTTATAAGAGATACAAATGCCTAAGATAGCTTTATATGAGGTACAGAAGGCCCCCTATATCCACTGGGGATTGGTTCCAAGCCCCCCTCCATGGATACAGAAAACTGTGGATAATAGCCAATTCTATACATTGTATGCAGAATGGTAAAAGGTGAAAATAACCAGAAAAAATATTTTCACATTTTCATAACCAGAACTGGTCACTAGCGGGTGCCAGAGATCATACTATGTACTGTATGGTTCACCAACAAGTAATCTTATCATGGGCCCTGGCTCCCTCTAGTGGCCAGTTCTGGTAATATATGTAAAAATAGTTTTTTCTGGAGTTTTTTCTTTTAATATTTTAAATTAATCATTAAGTTTTGACCAGTAAAATAAATATTTTCAGTCCATGGGTAAGTGAATCAGTGAATCCTGAATCCTGTGGATAAGGGGTCCTATTGTAATTAAAATCAGTGTTTCTTTCAAGTTTCTTTTACAAGGATGTGACCCAAAATAAAATAAAAATCCTTGAGCATCTAGCTTGTCTTCCTAACATGATAAAATGGTATTGCCTCAGGAAGAAGCCTGCATTTATTGTTTTATGAGACTTCTTTGTTGATGCATACGTGTCATTACGCTTGGTAAGGGATGGCTATTTTCCCAATGATAAGCTAATGTATAATTAGCTTATCGTTGGAATGTAACTATATTACAAGGAATATTACACTTCAAGGTATACTATGATATTGGCTATGTCTCATACATTTATATAATTGCTGCATAATTAAGATATAATATGATTCAGTTACACTGGGGAGGGATCTCAAGGTTTCATATTTTTACCATTGCACCTCACTTTTGTGGGAGAAGAGCAATATAGTAGCCTTAAAATAATAAACGATAAAAACATCTTACAGACAGTCCTTGAGCTATGCCTCACCTTGAGAAACATGCCACTCCATAAGGCCATCTTTTTATGAATGGTGACACTGTGGTTTGCTGGAGAATGAAGAGTCACTTCACCAACCTTCAGGCTCACAAAGGAGTGATTAGGAAGTAGAATCCAATTAAATACATTGTACGTTGCCAAGTCTCCGCTCTTGTGAAAAAGAGTTTCCTCCATAGCATTGTTGTTGAAAACTGTTTTCTTAAGGGACTGATGCAGCTGAAGGTGATAGAGAACAGGGGGACTTATTTTCATGAAGAAGTGTCAAAAAGTTATCATTTTAAAAATGCCTTCTCTACCAAAGTGTTCAGGGAATTGGTTCTAATGCTTTTACCAGGCAATCATTTCTTCAGAGTTTTACAGGGGACCAGATGACGTATTCCATATGTCAAGGATGTGGGAAATGCTCAGAAGATTTCTTGTTCTCAGCTACTTTCCGAATATCTGACTTTACAGGCATTCGGTCAACACTGTGGCTCAGCTGGTTCATTCCTTTTGCTGGCAACCAGACGACATAAGTGCCAAAATGAACCAGCCCATCTCTGGAGCATTTGTACCCACTCTTTTCTGGCTCCCGTCAAGAGCTGCTCTTTTTTTAAAGGTTATGGTAGGACTGCTCTGTTTTGGTTTGATTTCAGCATGTGGGATCTAACCAAAGCAACTGGCTGGCTGTCCCTTTGGAGAAGTCCCTTAACAATCTTGCCTCTTGATCTAGAGAAATGAATAATTTCTGCTTGGTTCTCCTTTAAAAAGCAGGGGAGAGGAAGTTTTGCATTTTTTTAAATTGTTGCTAATGTATCAGAGATGCTTTAAAAGGATTTTTTTAAAAGCCCTCTCAAAGCATTGCTAGCGGGCTGTGTCAGTTAGCAACCATTGAAAAGGAATGGAAACCTTTGTCTCCCCCTCCAAGGGAGAGCAGAGTGAATGTTTTTCATTTTTCAAGATCAAGATTGTTAAGATCATCAAGAGGCTTCTGCAAAAGCATAACCAGCCAGCCACTTAACGCTTTTGAGAAATCTTTCCCTTTAAAGGGAAAGAACCATTAGTTTTAAGGGAAAAGAAGACCAAGATGAAGCTCAGCAAGCCCACAGTACAGTAGAAGGCAGCTGAGACTCTGGACTGGTACATGCATGGGACAGTAACCTTTCAGACATCCTGGTCCAAAACTATTCAAAGTTGCTTTATTCATTTAACAACACACTAGCACACTTTTACTGTTTTTCAAACACTAAAACCTACGGCTGTCATACGAAAGAATGAAATACTGAACTGAAAGCAAACATGTAAATGCAATACAGTATATGGCAGTTTTGGCCTGCTGTTGGCATGGTGTGGTTTCATCTATTTCCCAGCAACTACGTGATGGACAGGATATCACAAACCAGCCCAATTCTGGTCTGTGCTCATCTAGACTTATCTTTTTGGAGGTGACCTTTTTCGGAGCTAAGCTTTGGTCTGTGCTCATCTAGACTTATTTTTTTGGTTCAACAGCCAGACTACTTTGGAGGTGACCTTTTTCGGAGCTAAGCTGGAATGATGAGGACCACACTGAGTTGGCATAGAAGAGTCGCTTTAAATGAGATTGCACCCAGCAAAGCAGCTCTTCTTCATGTGATCCACCTGATCACGCCGTGTGTTCTGAAATATTTAAAAGCTAAAAGAAAAGGTACACACAAGATCTGTGGGGCCCATTAAACTCCTGTGTCCTCACCCCTCCAGCTAAGAACAATTGTGTCCACTTGGTTAAGACACAAGTGCCTTTAAGCTCCTCCTCTTCTCCAATTACAGTAGGATCACCTTATCCACAGGGGATTGGTTCCAAACACCCCTGCCCCACAGATGCTGAAAAACATAGATTATAGCAAACGCTATTATAATAGCAAATACAGTGGTGCCTCGCATGAGTGCCCCATTTAACGACGAATCCGCATTGCATTGCGACATTTTGAATGGGCGAAAATCGCATTGCGATTTTTTCAGAACAGCTGATTGGCGGTTCCAAAATGGGCACCGAGTGAAGAAAATGGCCGCCCACAGCATTTTCGCACGGTTTCCTCGCTTACTGAGGCAGCGAAAATGGCGGCCATATGGAGGATCTTCGCATAACGGTGAGTTTCCCCCCATAGGAACGCATTAAACAGGGTTTGATGCATTCCTATGGGGTTTTTGCCCCGTATAGCGACGATTCCGGATAGCAACGATTTATCCGGAACGGATTATCGTCGCTATGCGGGGCACCACTGTACTATACATGAATGGTCTCAGGCTTCCTCTAGTGGCCAGTTCTGATAATAACACAATGGAAGTAAATTTCTTTGTCTCCCTCTAATTGACAGCTCCGGTAATTTCATCATTAGAAATTTATATTTCCAGAAATTTTTATTTTAATATGTTTAAAATTTTCAGATTGTGGATAAGTGAATCAGTGGATACTGATCATGCAGATACTGCTGTCCTACTGTACTTCCATTCCATCTGATCATTAAAAGAACCATTACATTACTTAAAGAATTAATGTTTAGGTTGGCATGTCTTCATTCTCTCCACATTGCTTTCTCTCATTGCTGTATTTTTTAGATTGTAACCCACTGGCAGTAACAATCCTGTTTGTTGCTGAGCTTATGAAAACCATGTTGGGAAACTTTTGTGCTATAAAGCACAAAATATGTATTAAATGCTTTGCCACCACACACTATGGGTTCAATCATATGGGGAAAAGCTCACATTTTGGACTGCTCGTGACACAGTGTGGCACAAGCTGTTTCCCAGTGTTCACACAACACATGTGAGACCATGAACTGGCCTGATCCTGATCCGTATCCAAGCAGGACTTTTTAAAGTTCAGCAATAGGGTTACTCTTTTTAGGGGCCATGCTGAAGCGATTCCTTCATAGATTGAAGGGTTGCTTTTAATGAAGGTTTCTCGTGGCAAAACAACATTTCCTAGTGGGATCAGATGTGATCCTTTCTCATTGTTTGATTGCACTTTCACTCCCAGTAACCTCAACAGACAGCAGTCCTTCATTTCTGTTATCGAAGAGGATTACCTTCCAGAGAGGGAAATTTCCAGTGCCTGGACCGTTTCCCTTTGATTTCCTCTTAGTTCTCCCCAAAAGAAGCTTGTGCAGTGCTCTGGCAATTCCAAAAACTGCTTTGTAGATACTGTAACTTAGGGGGCTCATGTCAACATCAAAATGTGATGCAACGGCACCATCCAGCTTCTCCTGACCGGTACATGACTTGATTCCAAGTTTTGGAGGTAATGCATAAGGGGGAAGCAAATTGCAATCAAACTCTAGTCTCCAAAACTTCTTAATAAAAATGTCATTTGGGTATTTGCTTGGGCTTACTGACTGAAGAAACGTCCGGAATTCAGGAATAAATTTGTTAGCGGAATTAAAGGACAAAGCACCAGGAAAGGTTCTTGACCTTACATGCAGACTAGCGTCCCACTTAGCAGTGGTCAGCCACACTTTCCCTGCTATTATGGCATGAGATCGTTCATATACCATGGAGAAGAAGAAAGCATCGCCATAGGCGACCACTACTTTGCTTGAGGACCGCCATAACTCTTCCTTTCTCCACTCCAGTTCGTTCAAATATGGAATAATTCTTTTGAACAATAATACAAATTCACAACAGACCCCATTTTTCTCCATTTCTCCTTCTAGGTCATGGAGGAAGTTCGTTCTTCTGCCATACTCGGAAATGATAAGGCCAACCCATGTCCAATCAAAGTGGAGGAGCAATTTCACGATGTCTATATGTTGAAAGTCATCACTTGGATATATCTGATACAAAGAGGGGAATGCAATTCGATTGGCTAGGAGGGGATGAGAGGAGCCATAACTGATCTGCGGAGACACAAAGCATTCCGAGATGCCCTCGCAACAGTCAGTACGACATGAATTCAACGACTCAGCCAATGCAGAATGTTGTTGTTTTGAAAACCTGAGGTCTAGTCTCTAATTAAACATGAAACATTCTTGGGCCCTTTCTTTCTGTCCAACAGAGGTGTTGAGAATTTGTCCCAATGGGATCAAACTCAAAAAATTTACCTGTCAAAAATAAGTTTTTTGAAGCCCATAATAAAATATTATGTGGTTGTAGCAAGGTAAATAGTAAGGATGGTTTTTCTGCTGAACTGAAAGGACAAACAGGGATAGCCCTGCAGGCTGAAAGGTATTTAGCTGCATTCAGCCTTTATAGAACATTATTTAGATCTCCCAACATTGGTTACCATTATATTCCATAATTCTTTTAATGAGCTTCATGGTCCTTCCTAGCCAACTGCCCCTGTTCTATCTTCAAAATAACCCTGCGTTTACCTTTATGTCCCTACCTGAGTGTTAAGATCATCAGGAAATGTCTCTCTCTTGGTTCCACCACTTTCATACGTATGTTTGGTGAGGACATGGGAATGGGCCTTTTTCTCTGTTGCTGCTCCCAGACTTTGGAAAAGCTTTCACTTCAGTCAAGGTTTCCTTGAGTGACTGGCATGTCTCTCTCTTGGTTCCACCACTTTCATACGTATGTTTGGTGAGGACATGGGAATGGGCCTTTTTCTCTGTTGCTGCTCCCAGACTTTGGAACTCCTTCCCCATCTTTGTCGTCCTTCTGTTAGCAGGCAAAAAACTTTCCCTTCAGTCAAGGTTTCCTTGAGTGACTGGCTGCCAGAGTGGGATTATTTAATGGATGGTTGCTTTGAATGTGGTTTTGGTGTGTGTTGCTCTTGTTTATTATCTTTTAGAGCGGTATTTATTTGATCCTTTTCAGTATTTGTATACTTATGTTATTAGCTTTAAATATTGTCTTTAAAGATATAAGCCGCCTTGACTCCTCCTTAAGGAAAAAGGCGGGGTAATTTTTTAAATAAATATTTCTTAAATTTATGTTCCAACCATTCTGATTTCTGCGGTAAATAGTGCTCAAAGTGGCTCACAATAATTCAAGACATGACAATAATTCAAGACAAATACTCATGAAACATAAAACCATATTGGTTAAAAACTCAACATACATTAATAGAAAGAAGTAAGAAATCACGCCTTCCACCCTTCAGTATCTATTTCAACAATCAGGCCCTGTTAAATAAGCCTATATGAATAAAAATTTGCTATTGCAAATATCATCCTCCTAAAATAATTTGGGCTAAGTTCATAAATTGGTGTGTTATGCCTGGAGACAGGGGCTTTGCTACAGTTTTCTGCTTTGTGTCTTAAAAATACCCTGATTAGATTTCACTGCCATCCACCTTGATCTGGATGGATGTCGATAACCACTGGATCGTCAGCTGGAGTGGCCTCTTGTGCTCTTTTCAAAGGCATGAAGGACATGGATGTACAATTCAAGGAGGTACAAATTTCCTTAACAGCAACGTCTCAAGGAGGAGTTTCCTTTTTCACACATTAAAAGCCCAAATGAAAAAGACATGTTTTAAGCCCTTACCTGTGGCACCTTGTAGAGACCCAACATATTGGCTACCCATAGAGATGATTCCAAAGTCTGTCCTCCAATGACAGCCACCATCTTCTTTGAGCCCTGGCAATTATAGTTGGGAAATATTTTAACCTTATTGCTGGCCTCTGCAACCATCGTGTTATAAAGTGACTGTCCATAAAGATATTTAGAACCATAGAGATAGAGAGGTGGTGGGATCGGAGCAAGCGTGTCCCTTTCTGACAGCAGACTGATGACATTCTCACAATTTTGGCTCCCACTGTAATAGTCGTCATAGAGACGGAAACCCAGGGAGAGGTTGGGTAAGAAATGGGGGTCGCTGTTGATTTTCTCTACAGCAAAGACCAACGCCAGGACATGCTGGTAGCTCTTAGACATGGAGCTGTATGAAGATGGAGAGAATAAAAAACACATTTCAACTGCAGTGATAAACAATGAGGTCTACACAGAGCGACACAGGTTGGCCCTAGCATGGAATCTAGGTAGGGCAACCCAATACAGTACTTTTTTTTGCCTTTGGTGGAAAGACAAGGTAGTACTGCTAACAAGAGCTTCACTATGACTTGAGTATGATTTTGGGAACTGTAGGGTTAGCAAAATGAAGTTTTACTTCATTTTGGCTATGAAGCAGTACAAAACACAGAAAGAAAACTTCACAATAACAGAAGAAACAGAAACGTTGACTCTGTTTTGTTAGTTCTGTGCAGCAGGTGGCAATGTAAACCCCTGCTGAACTTCCCTTACCATGAAAATCCTGTGATGAGACAATCCAAAATGGAACAACAGATGATGCTGTAAGATGATGAGATGGAATGACTCCCTTAAGGAGGCACAGGCTTGAGTGTGCAAGAGGTGAGCAAGGCTGCTGAGGACAGAACAGGGTGGAGATTGCTCATTCATGGGGTCGCCGTAAATCAAAGACAACTTGACGGCACATCACAACAACAAGAGGCAGATGTTAGAGAGAAATGTTTTGGCCCCGGTGGATTCCTTCTCTGTATTTGGTGCCATGCTGCATCTAGGATGGGGTTTCCTAACACCTGAGCCGAACTTGAAAAACCAAATCCACCTTTTACTAGTATGTTTTCCCATGTGATCCGTTGGCTGTCCCTCACCCAATACGCACTTCTTTTCTACTCCCTTCTACCCCTGCATTCCACGTACTATACAGGCCCATGGGACAGGGCTAGCAGAAGAGTTATCAGCCATTGGGGCAGTACCTTCACTGCACCCGAGGGCTGTGGAAAAGCATAAAGAACGCAGAACTGAGAGGCAAATGCAGATCTCCAGCCTTTCCTCCATGACTGTGACTCTTGCCTTTGGCAGTCCTGTCCTGTTTTGAAGAACAATCCTGTCCTCTTAGTCTGCTATCCAGATGCTAAGCTTCAAATCCCTTCTGTCCCTCCTCCATGTGGTTGTAAACCTTTAATATGGACCTTGACTGACCAGCCTTTCGGACAGAGTGTGTCTCCAAATAGAGGATTATTAGCAGCCTTCACTTCCAACATTCTTTTTAAAATTGTGTGCCATCAAGTCAGTTCCAGCTTAAGGGGACCCTTTCAAGGTATAACGTACTCAGAGGTAGTTTACCATTTCCTTCTTCTTGGAAAGAAGGTTCAGCCCGTATATACAGCCGTAGCTTACGCAAGACTATACGGACTGACTTTTCTCCCAGCAGGCACCGTGGGGAACCAAACACCCAATCTCTGGCTCTGTAGTCAGATACCCAATGCCCTGAATTCTCCACAAAGTGACCTTAAACTGCTCTAATGGCCAAAACAGATTGGAAGGAAGGTCTTCGGGTTTGTTGACTTTCCACTTGACTGAAAGTTGGCTGATCACTATTAGATTGTGGGGCTTGATTTATCATACTCAGACTGGTCCCACAGCCTAGAAAGCATCTTGGCCATATAGAATCTGACCCAGTTGCCAACTCAAAGTCTCAGAGGGCTGATGATGTGGATATAAGAAGCTCCAATGCTATCTGGTAGAGGTCCTTGTTTGAGACCAGCCATTACACTTTTTAGAAATTTTAGGATCCCCGCCTGTTAATAAGAAACCAAAGTCTTACATTCTTTCAGCATTATATGGAGAAATCTCGGGGCGAATGTCATAATTTATTTCATGGATCCCTTGGTGAGCCAAAGATAATACTCCGCCAATAATAATATCGCCGTCTTGGTAATATCCCTCGGTGTAGGGTCTCTCCAGGTGACATTGTGTCTTTGCCAACCTGAGAGCAGCACAGGGTAGAAGCAACAAGAGGAAGAAGAGCGAGGTCATGGCTGGAGTATCTTCAGATGATCATGGATCAGAACTCAGCTTAAAAGCATCCCATTTTCAAAGGGGGGTGAGCTTTCATGGAGTGCAACAGAGCCATCCATAGCAGCCCTGCAAGGAAACCTGTTTCATGTCATGCAGCGATCCACCACTGGACGGGACTCCATTCTGAGTGACAGAGGGTGGTTCATAGGAGGTCTACAGAGGCTCTTGTCTTATTTAGAGTGGTCTCTCTTTTTCCCCCCTCCTTGCTTCAGGCTGTAGGGCCCTGGCTGCCTCAAAGCAGGTGGACAAACCATGATCACAGTTATTGCACCGATCCCCAGACAGGGGTGAGTCCCCACCCTACAGGTCTGGGCAGTTCCTTGACAGGGATTATTGTCCTCCAGTGGAGAGGACAAACATGTTTGTACGGCTTGCTTCAGGCAGGTGCAGAATGTAATTAGAAAGCATGTATTTCCAAGGTAGACGGCTGTGGTTTTCCCCTAAGACTGAGTCTCTTGATTCTTTTCCTGTTCTTTTTCCTTTCAAGAGAAGTTCCTTCTTCTCTCCCACAGCAAATGCCCTCTTTAGGGTTGGGGGTCACAAACACTGAAGGGATAAGTATAAGAACTAGATAAGATAAAAGGCTCCTCCAGTTTCCAACAGTGGCTTCTTTCTTTGTCCATGTCAGAAGCACTGCAGTACTATTAATAGGAACAGTAGGATCCCTGTATCCGTGGGGGATCATTTCTAAGCCCCCCGTCCATGGATGCAGAAAAACACGGATTAGAGCAAACACTATTTTAATAGCAAGCACTATACTGTACATCCCATGGGCTCTGTCTCCCTCTAGTGGCCAGTTCTGGTAACTTTATCTTTATAAATATTTCTAAGATTTTTCTTTTAATATTTTCAGACGGTCAATAAGTGAATCAGTGCATACTGATCACACAGATAAGAGGGTCCTACTGTGTATGATATAATTTACATCCAGAAATGGGCAACATAAAGAGCACTTGGGGCAGCTATCATAAAGTCTTCCATAGTATGTATATGTTGAGGGACACAGAGTACCCTAATCTAGATGTGAAATTGCCTGCTCTTCTCTGCACTCACAAACGACTGTGTCAGTGTGAAACCTCACCTTTTTGTAATATTAATTTTGACGTGAGTTTATGCTGGCCCTAAAGGGGTTTTTGTTTTTATATGTTCATTAAAAAAATTGCTCTATATTTTTGTTATTTCCTGCCCAGAGTAGTGGCTTAAATAAGTTTAAACACATAAACTAAATAAATAAAACAAACCCCCATTGTCTTAGGTCTCCTTTGGTTTTGCCAACTCTCATCCATGGCCTATTAAGTGACCTCCCAGTAACCCATTTGTCCATGTGACTGCACTTTCCTGATGTTCCATCCATTTTAAGAGGTGGGTGGTTCCTTATTTCCACGTTATCATCCTGATACTCTGTGCTGTTTGTTCCAGAATTACAAAAGTTCTGAGGGGAAAAAAAAACTTCTCCTTGATTTTAAACTGGGAGGGGTGGGATGGTCGCCAAAGAGTAGATACGCATTTGATGTAGATGTTTTGAGTCTTTCACTATTGACTGCTCCCTATCTGTGTGTGTCACTGGCGAAGCCTTCTAGGTCATTGATTTTATCAATACAGGTTGGCTTCAGACATCCGGTAATTATTCTTCAGCTTTTATTGACTGCTACCTCTACCCGGTTTGCATGAAGTGAACTGTACCGCACTGGGCTCACATATTCGCCTGTGGAGCAGCACAAAAGCAAGGCTGTAGTTCTTACTGTGGTTCCTTTTATAAAGCAGGAAGTTGTGCTCAAATAATTGTTCCAAGTTAACACTGCCCCCATGTACTACAGTATGTCAGTGGTTCCCGACCTTGGGTCCCCCGATGTTCTTGGACTAATGTATGTCAGTGGTTCACAATTTTGTGATTGTCCAGATATTCTTGGACTAAAACTCCCAGAAGCCTTCACCACTAGCTATGCTGGCCAGGATTTCTGGGAGAACATCTGGGGGCCTAGGATGGGAACCATCTGGGGACCTAGGGTGGGAACCACTGTACTGTACCATGTGCTCGCTCTCTGACATTTATTATCTGGAGTTCTAACTCTGGTGAGCCTGTTGGGTATCTCAGTGGCCAACATCCCCTCGCTGGGGAACTGATTAAAGCTGCTGAGTCAGATCTCTTCCTGTCTGATGATATCGGGGACACAGAAAATGCCACTTAATGTCAAAGGTTGCCCTTTCAGTTCGGCACTGCCGGGAATGTCGCTTTGTTCCTCTTCGTCTTCTTCACAGAAAGAAAGGCAGGTGGGAGGCAGCCAAGCCATGCCTCCTCGAGCATCACATACATGATCAAGCACATAGAAGCACAAACCCCACTAAAGGAACAATAGGTGTCCCACAAATTTAAATCTTATCTCTCTAACTTTTCAAACTTTTCAGGGTTCTTTGGTCTGATTACCAGAACACACTGCCCCCTTTGTAAATCACCCAAAGAACTACAGCCTTGACACTACACTACTCCTCAGGTGAATACATCAGCCCCGTGTGGCATAGTTTAGCCTATACAAAACAGATGGAGGTAGCACTCAATTATCATTCTAGAGTTATTACTAGATGCCTGAAGTCAATCCCTATCAATAAGATCAACTGAGCTGAGTACTCTGGGCCCCTATCTCCATCTTCTCTCCCTCTTCCTTCCTTCCTTCCTTCCTTCCTTCCTTCCTTCCTTCCTTCCTTCCTTCCTTCCTTCCAGAGAAAGCCCTGATCTCATCAGTGAGCAGAATGTGTTTCTAAGGCAGCCACTGAGAGGAGAGTAAGTGAGATACCTTTAAAGGGCAATGGGCACAGTCTTCTTTGGTTCTTTCTTAAAAGGGCAATGCAGGAAGTCTGCATTTCCTTCACACAACATGGAATTTTCTTTTCCCAGACTTTTATTTGGCCACCCACCGGCACTACAAGTAAGCTTATTTGAAGGATTTGAAATGAGTTCTGCTTCTCTTCCTAGATTTGAAATAAGTGGTGCTGCGGACCCCTCTTGCCACAGCCTGAAGATTGCTAGGGCGGATACTGGATTACTGCAGAAAAACATCTCTAAACAGCATGAACTTTAATGACTGAACCAATAGTAAAGGCAAAGAAGTATAAGTTCTAAGGCAAAGAGCATACTCTCCTTGTCCACTGTGGCCAATGCAGCATTTCCCCAACTTTCTGTCTCCTATTCCCTGCTTCCATTGCATCATTTTCTTTCTAAGGTTTTTAAGATCCCTAACAGCAGCTTAAGTCAGGAGGGGGTTGTCTCCCCCACAGCACAACCAAGATGTTGGCAAGCAGCAAATCCCCTCATTCCCAGCTAGCATCATTCAAGTAGCCAAGTGTACATCAGACGGCAGATTAAACACATGTTTGTATACAAGGATACTCAAAACAAATTCCCTTTGAGCTCTGTGGGACTTATTCTCAGGTAAGTGGAAACAGAACTGCAGCAGAAGGCAATCCAGTTTTGCCTCACTCCATTATGAGCAACGCAACAGTACCATCATGGGAGGACTTGGGGGCAGATGTCCGACGGTGACCTGAACAGAATGATCGGGAGACCTCTACATTATACCAAGGCTCTTTTGCCACACTTTGGAGCAAAGGAAATAACACATAGCCCATCTAGATTCTAAAATGTTCCCCACCATAAGACTGTTGTTAGATCCAGAGTTTAAAACAATGTAATTACATAACTCGTTCCCAGTCTATCTTTCTCAAACCCAGAAGTATTCTCCAGAAATTCCATCACACAAGATTTGATGAAGGATCTAACCCGTTGATGTTCAAATAAGGAACAGTTTCAGACTCATTTGTATTTATTATCTGGACAGTATTTGCTGGTCATATGTTGCTTTCAATTCTTATGTGGCTGCAGAAAAATAATATAACATTTAGGAAGAGGCAGGCAAGCCACTCTGCCACTGGAAGTCAAAATAGAGAAGATCTCCACAGCCACCATGTATTTCTCTTTGGTGCTCAAGTAGGTTGAGATGAAGGACATCGAGATGCTGCGGAACACGAGCATGCCGAAATGAATGAACCTGGCTTCATTGAACCTGTCAGGCAGTTTCCAAGAAGGCAATGATGGAGGTCACCTAAGCTAGCAGATGCAGGCAGGCAGAAATGCAGTAGAAAGCAGTGATTAAGTCCACATTGCACTCAAGAATGATATGTCTGGGCTCTGGAACCTGGATGAGAGGAGCAGTCAATGCAAAGGCTCTGCAGCCCTGTGTCTCATCCACTTTTGTGCTTTGCTCCCCAGCTTGGTGACTGTGAAAGCCAGGACTATCGTGATGGTTTTAGCCAGAACTATTGCAAGAGAGGGAGAGAGAGAATGGCTGCAAAGGTTGTGTGATAGAGAAGGCCTTTGCAACTACCTCCAGCATGCTCAAAGCTATTTTGGAGGTGGTCTAAACTGGTTTGCTTTTGGATCCATGTGGGTATTTGTAGAATTCTGGAGCAGAGTTTTTTTTTAAACATATTGTTATAACCTGGGAAACCAGGTGCTATACAGTACTATCTTATATATATATATATTAAGATGGTGCGCCTTACATAGAGAGGTTCAGTGTGCCTGCATTTCAGTCATGTGTTATTTTGGGTGTGTGGGAGAGTTGCCTCCAAAGTAACATTTTCCACCAGGAGGGGATAATCTGCCAGACCACTCTAAATGGCAATGCAGCAGCCCTGTACAGCAGAGAATCCAGAGAGGGGCATGGCATGTGTGGTAAAAGCGTTCCTTAGAACTGCCTTTACACGGCAGCAGAGAATCCAGAGAGGGGCGTGGCATGTAGATGATTCTGTTTCCCGAAATATGCCTAGGAAAAGTGGCATAAGGATTTTATTTCCAGGGATGAAAACATGCATTATAGGTTTAACAGGGCCGTGAAAGGCTAGTGAAAACTGAGCAATACTTAGTGGTTTTTATTACTGCCCATAAATTGAGCCTTGTGGCACAGTGATTAAACTGCAATACTGCGGTGAAGACTCTACTCACAACTTGAGTTTGATGTCAAGCTTAGGTATCCAGCTTCTATCTTTCTGAGGTTGGTAAATTTAGTACCAGGGAGGTGGTGATGTGTAGTCTGAGAAATTAAATTGCAAACCACACAGAGAGAGCGTTAAGCCCTGTGGGGTGGTATCTGAGCAGCACATTTTGCCTTTACAGGAGCTACAGACCCTGGCATTTCTTTGCTGCACACCAACAAGGAAAACGGAAGGGACAAAGCAGAAGGGGAGAGACAATGACCTACCTAATCAAAGCCCGCACAAGAAAGAACACATTCATCCAACCGCATCCTCACACACATACTGCCCAATACAGTGTAATATAAAAGCATTGATTGGTGGAAGGAAGGAAGGAAGGAAGGAAGGAAGGAAGGAAGGAATGCTAAGTGCCTGCCTGAGCAGCTGCAGGGGGGTAGGTAGATCCTAGTGACCTCTCTCTGAAACCTTGCCAGTGGTTGGACCCACCAGGAGCGTTCCAGGTCTGCACTGGTTATTCAGCTTTCAATGTGCTCTTCTCCTGCCTCTTCCTCCTTATGCTACATTCTTTGCCCCAATACTATTGGAGCAAACGTACATTATCTGTTTAAACGTTCAAACCATGACAATGTGGTTTAATCGCAATTTGGTCGGTGACACATTAGAGTTTTAATGAGTCAACTTGTTATCTGAAGTATTAGTGGGGCTCCAGAGAAATGTTGCATCGCTGGTGGCATTACCTGTTGTGTTATTTGTTATTGATTTGCAGGGTAGTCTTCCTTTCTAAATCTTCAGGGCAGCTGGGGCATGCTTATTGCTCTTTATTTTTAGTGTATAAGTACTGTATGTATATACTTACAATGACAATCAATTTATTTGATATTTAAAACAAGGGTCTTGCATAGTAGCGCTGTGCACAATACACGACCTTGTCTGCTGTCGCCGCGCTGGATGAAAGAATCTTTTGTGGCATCACAGAGCGATGTGCCACTTTGCGCCACAGGAAATGTGATTGGCCAGTATTTCCTGGAGCGTCTGGAGAGCAGTTGTCTCATCCACTCCAGAAAGTAGGGGGCTAGAACCTTCTGGAGCAATAGGTTGTGATCCTGTCTTGTGTGGAGAAGGAACGGATGCATAAGATTCTCTCGGGCAGCACTGTTAATTGCAGACAGAATCCTGCACAGGTGTGGGACCCGTTGTGTTAAGAAAAAGAAAATAGGGTCACTGAGCCTGCCAGCTACCTTGTGTGCTTAAGGTAAGCAGTTCTACTCCCTCACCCATGCATGCAAATAAATAAATAAATGAGATGCTGTTGCAATGAGCAAAATATAAGCTGCTAGACATAGAAAATAATTATTATTCTTGTTGAGTTATTCAATAAAAGGTTGTTATGTTCTTGTTGCCACTCTAAATGGTTTCGTCTGAAGTCTATTGCTTTTTAAAATAAATCAGGTATAAAGTTATAAATGTAATTTAACAAGGAATAAATCCACACCTTGTGCAGTGCAATGAGAACTTCAGTTGTACCTTTACGTTCAGGTTGGGCAGGGATCTCCTCAAACCTCCCTCAGCCTCCAAACACAATCTCTTCTGTCTTGCTTTGTTTGTCACTTTCCCCCACAACTTCCAACATATTTTTTGTTTCTCCAACAACTGGCGTTTGCTTTTTGTTACATTTTGTACTGATTCTATGTCTCCATTTCCTGGTGTACATCTCTCTAACAAATGTTGTTGCTGGAAGTGTTTCTAGAGAATTGCGGGGAGCTAGGGGTTGGGAGTTTGATTCCCCGTTGTCCCTCCTTGACAGAAGTTAGACTTGATAATCCATAGGGTCCCTTCCAGTTCTGCAGGTTTAATAGGATGATGGCAATGAGATTTGTGGGAATAGCCCCTCTCTCCTCTATTCCCAGTTTCTCTATATTCTTCTTTCTTTTCTCTTCTTCCTTTAGTTTTAAGACCAAACACATACCATTGAAATTGTTAAACGCTAGTGCTCTAACAATTTGTTTTAAATATTCTTGTTGTTTAGTCGTTAAGTCGTGCCCGACTAGTGCTCTAACAATTTTTTAAAATATTGTTGTTGTTTAGTCGTTAAGTCGTGTCCGACTCTTCGTGACCCCATGAACCAGAGCATGCCAGGCCCTCCTATCTTCCACTGCCTCCTGGAGTTTGGTCAAATTCCTATTGGTTGCTTCAATAACTCTGTCCAACCATCTCATCCTTTGTTGTCCCCTTCTCCTCTTGCCTTCACACTTTCCTAACATCAGGGTCTTTTACAGGGAGTCTTCTCTTCTCTTCTCATGAGATGGCCAAAGTATTGGAGCCTCAGCTTCAGGATCTGTCCTTCCAGTGAGCACTCAGGGTTGATTTCCTTCAGAATGGATAGGTTTGTTCTCCTTGCAGTCCAGGGGACTCTCAAGAGTCTCCTCCAGCACCACAATTCAAAGGCATCAATTCAGCGGTCAGCCTTCTTTATGGTCCAGGTCTCACTTCCATACATCACTACTGGAAAAACCATAGCTTTGACTGTGTGGACCTTTGTCGGCAAGGTGATGTCTCTGCTTTTTAAGATGCTGTCTAGGTTTGTCATCGCTTTCCCCCCAAGAAGCAGGCATCTTTTAATTTCATGGCTGCTTTCACCATCTGCAGTGATCATGGAGCCCAAGAAAGTAAAATCTGTCACTGCCTCCATATC